CTCATTGAGAACTCATAAATTCTAAGTGCATGCTTAAATGTATCAATTTTTAAACAAATATAAAATAGAGATAATACTGACTTTATGAAATGTTTAATTCAGTAGAGAAAAAAAAATTTATCTGTCTGGGAGTTTGGTGATGTTACCATATGCATGAAGATAAGTTGATGGGTATTGCCTCCAGATCCATTAACTTTAAATCCATGTCTCTCAACTCCTTATAAAAACTGGGCAACAGTGGATTATCTACTAGACCTTTGCAGCAACAATAAAACTCTTATTAAAATCTTAACCCTCAGAAACTGACATATCAGGCATGTCTTTCAAATACTTAACTGACTAGTTTAGGGCATGAAGACCATGAATATTCTCCTAAGGGTACAATGGGCTAATGCAAAACTGGAAAAAAAACCAGTTTTGTAGAGTTGTGCAGAATAAATTTGCTTCATCCACTGTTTTCAATCAAAATTCATGACCCTGTGTTTTAAGACGTGTCTCTCTTCATGCAAGAGAGAAAATATTAAAATTTAAGAAAACTTAGACCTTCCTTTAAAACACTTGTATTTAAAGAAGTGTAATTACAAAATTTACAGAAACAAAGACAGAAGTAATAAAATGACTAGCAATTAATCTAACCAAAGCAGACCATTAACCATGTATCATAACACCTTAACTCTCATCAAATCCATATAGTACATTTTAAATGGTAATCTAAATGATGCACTACAAAATACTTATCTGAAGAAGATACAGGGATAATTCACACATAGACATGCCAAATGAAGATAACTGTAAGTACATATTTTGCTATAAATCATTATTATAGATTTATAAATGTGTATTTTATCTGGATTTTACAGTTTAAAATTGGAATTCACAGATTTAACCAACATGTTTTCAGAGTTCCCTCACATTTTTATTTGGGGCCTATGATATTAATTACATTTAATAAATTCTGTACTTTATATTATGTGATACCAATATGCATATAAAATTTAGCACACAGCACACTGTATATAATAAATACTTTAAAAGCACTGAAGAAATCATATAAGGGCATACATGAGCATCACTGAATCTGGCTGAAGGTTGAGCATCAGAACAAGAATGCTGCACAGTGGGGAAAAATACTGCATTTATGTAATTAATTATTAATTTTTCATTTAGTATTTACTTGCTAAACTTTTGAATCTTACCTTATATGCCTTTATACCTTTTTTAATATTGTTTTCCAATGGGCATCTAATTTATGTTCTTTGTATTATTATTAAAATCTTGTATTGTTTTCCTGGGGAAAGCTGCTTTTTTCCTAGCACATCAAATTTGCTTTAGACCTAAGTCTGTGGTTTGGCTTCAGTCCCAGAATATCCTGATTTCTAAATGAAATTCAAAGCATTTCATATGGGTATCATGACTAAGAAGACTCGATCGTCATAGTGGATCCTGCACTGTATTAATCCCTGTTATACCATTTATTTCATTGTAGCTACATTTTTTATTTCAATATATGTTCTATGTTTGGTTTCAGTACCAAATATGAAAAAAAGGTACTTAAAATGAAGGTCTGTGTTGACACAAGTTTCATTATTTCAGACCTGGTCCTGGACACTAACAACATCATAAATGATCATATAGTACAGGTGGTTTTGAAACTAAAATAAAATGTTTCAAGTAAGTTAAACAAGTAAATAGAGACAGAGTATACAAATACATGTTTTTCATCACTCTTAATGAGTGCAGTAGTATAGGTGCCCTTTAATAACTCTGTTTGCTATGGTAAAGCACATTCTAACCACACACCTGTCCGAACTCCCATAGGCCTTCTGAGGTACCAAGGGACAAAGAAAAGTCTGTAGACTTTTCAAAGATCAAACAAAGGTTTCCATAGAGGAACTGACTTTTATTCTTAATTTTTTCCTTCTTGAACTACTGACAATTGAGATACTTTGATCAAACTTTCCATCATTATTTACCTTTGGAGACTAACTAGCTGGAGCACTTCAGCTCCAAAACCTTCAGAAAATTGCAAAAAGCACTAAATAGGAACTCTTATGTTGCATAATGGTTTTCATTCTAAGAGAGAGCTTGCAGATGGCTCATCAGAGATCTCTTTGTCAATTACTTCTGGAAACCACTCTCTTTCCTGCATATCAGAACTAAGTATAGTTTGTAGTTTATAGAGGCTGACTTTAGACTCTGCTTCTATTACAGGTCATACATTTCCTTCATTGATCGCTTGGTTTCATGGCTGTTGTTCAAATAATTTAGTTTTACAAACAGTTCTTTTACAATAAATATACCATTTTTATTCTAATACAAGCATATTTTGAGGCAGAAACACAAGATTAGTCCTGATGCCATTCTGTTTGGGGGAATCTGTTGGAATCACTAGTGCAAGTTCTCCAATTTTTTGTTGTATAGTTGTTCAGTTGAATGTCTGTTGACCAGCAGTCTGATTCCTGATTAAAACTAGAAGTAAGGCTTTGTATGTCTTTTCTAACAGAAGAGTATCTGTAAACTGTCTGAGATCACAGTCAGGGTCAGGAAGAAAGACAGCTACACACTGAAAAAATAGAACAGCTCTCAGCACATCAAAGCACAGAGATTTGCCTCAGAAGGCTGTTGGCAATTTGTAAAATGTCAGGTTATTTCAGGTGCCTCACTGAAATGTGCAGCTAGGTTGACAAGTGAATGCAGGCAAGACATGGGGGGAAAAAATCCTTAAGTTAACAGTCTGTGCCCAAAAAAAAAGAAAGAAGAAAAGTTATTTAGTATCTTGATTGATGCAAACACAAAATCAGGGTGCCTTGTGCCAAGGAGCAGAGGAAAGGAAAGCAGGAAAATAAATAGCAACACAAGTTACTTCAATAAGTAAAGGCATTCCTAAGTATTTTTTTGTTTCCTTTCCTTTCTTTTTTTAAATTTTTGTTGTATAAAAAGATGTTGATTTTTAATACCCTGCTCTAAACACTGCCTGCTGCCAAGTATATTGATTGTGTTAGGTTAGACTTATTGTAGACTCCATGGTAAATGTGAGAAACCTAGAAGCATGACATGTTTTGGTTAATGGATAGATTATGGTGAGAAAAGCAGTCAAGCGATCTGGAGAACACTATTTGAATGTGGCAGCTGGGGAACTGCAGCTACAAGGAGTTGTATCACAAACTTCTAAAAGTTAAGACACAAAGTTTCTGTCTTGAGTAGGAAGTAGAAAGTTAAATCTTGATTCCAAACAAACAGCACAGAAAGATTGTCATTGTTCAATCCCCTCTCGCAACCAGCACTACACAGCCACTTCCTCACTTCTCCACTAGCAGGATCTGTGACAGAATCAGAAGGGTAAAAATTAGAAAACATGGCTTGAGATACAGACCGTTTAATAGAAAAAGCAAAAGCTGTGCATGCAAGCAAAGCAAAATAAGGAATTTATTAGCTGCTTCCCATGGTTAGGCAGATGTTCAGCCAGGAGAGCTAGACTCCATCACAAGTCACGGTTACTCAGGAAGACAAACAGTGCAATTCCAAATGCCCCCTCTTCTTCCTTCTTCCTCCCAGTTTATATACTGGGCATGATGTCACATGGTCTGGAATATCCCTTTGGTCATTTTGGGTCAGTGACCAGCTGTGTCTCATCCCAGCCTCCCAAGCATACTCAGTCCGCTCACCAGAATAAAAAATTATTCCAGGAAATTTCTTTGTGGCTGAACTTTGCTTTACCTCTTCATTCCAAGTATGCCACTACAATTTGTCTCTCATAAATGTAATGGCAACCACAAACAGACACTTATATGAAGATCCCATTTCATAGCCAAGAAAATAAAGTCCTTTCACAGCCCAAACTTTCCTTTTCCAGTCTATTTGCAGTCCCAGTTCACTAGGCCCCTGGTTTTGTCACTTTCTTATCTGTCAAGTCTATCTCTGAGTAGCCAGAAACTTAAACCATAACAACTCCAGCTGTGGCCTGCTCTCAGCTGAGCAAGCCCTTAGGGAAGAATTTTTAAGCTGAGCAAGCTTTCAACTTACCCCTTTCCTCTCAAACATGGGAGCTCCAACAGTGTGCCTGTGCATGCACAAACTCACTGTTTCAGTACCTGCTCACGCCAAGAGCTCAGTTATGCTGAGTGCACTCCCCAAGAAGGAATCACATTAAAGAAGACATTGAGGTGCTGGAGTGTGTCCAGTGAAGGGCAACAAGGCTGTGAAAGGACTAGAAAATGTGTCATATGAGGAACAGCTGAGGGAGCTGGGTTTGTTCAGACTCAAGAAGAGCAGGCTCAGGGGGCACCTCATCGCTCTTACAGCTCCCTGAAAGGAAGGCGCCAGGTGAGAGCTCGTCTCTCCTACAGTGCCTGCAGGACTACAGGAAACGGCTTTAAAATGAACCAGGGAACATTCAGATTATGCATTATTTTTTCTCTATTATTATGGTGGTTAAGCATTGGAATCGATTGCCTAAGGAGGTAATTGAGTCACCTCGAGATGTCCTTGAGGTGTTTGGATCTGGTGCTTGGTGATAATTTAGTAGTTATAGGATTACAGTTAGTGCTGGAGCGATGGTTGATGTTAAGATACATGCAGTCGCATGTATCTTAAAAGTCCCTTCCAGCATTGATAATTCTATGATTTTGCTTCTGACATCCGTCAGGGAGCAAGCATTTCAGTATGTTTGTAACTCCAGATTAATCCTTGCATGCTTGTTATAGGTGTCGGCTAAATCCTAGTATTTAGTCAAATACAATAGTTTGGACACACTTCTGAACAGTAGCTCAACAACAGCCTGCCACCAGCTGCAGAGAGCAAGCCAGCTGTACCGCGCTGTGTCTCTCGGCGCGGCCGGGCCGGGAGCCGGCGGAGCGCCCTCACCCTCACCGCCGCCCCCGCCCCGGGCCGTCCCGCGCATGCGTCCCGCCAAGCCGCTAGGGGGCGTGCGCGGCGGGAGGCCGCCGCGAAGTGGCGCAGGAACTGACGGAGGAGCGCTTCCTGCCGCATCCCGGCCCCTTCCTGCCGCATCCCGGCCCCTTCCTGCGGCGTCTCTGCATCCGGGGACGGGACAGCGCTCAGCTGCGGGAACTGCTCTCCGCTGCCCGCCCCGCCTGCCTCCGCTAGGCCCTGCGTGAGTGTCCTGTGCGGGTCCCGCGTGGACGTGGCAGGGAGCGGCGTCGGGGTGCCGGGCTCCGGCGCCGGGGCTGGGGCTGGCGGGCTTCCGTGCGCACGGGCTTGCCTGCGCGGTTCGCTCGTGGGGCTCTGAGGGAAATACCGGCTTGTTTGGAAACACCGGCCAGAGGGACAGAGGTACCTGAGCTGTAAGCCGTGAAGTTGTTTAGGAGAGCCTGGCGAGGTAACCAGTGCTGGCGGTCACGGTAAGGGCTGTTTGCCCCGCTGTGAGACAGCGGTGTTGCCGCATTGTTTTGGGTTGGGGAAGGTAACTGCGCCTTTGCTTGTGTTCTTGGTGTTTACAGCTTCAAAGGCTAAACCGAACATGTGTTTCTTCTGCGCCTAAATCTTGAATTCTCATTCACCGTTCTGTTAGTAGCTAATTGTGTCCATAAACTGCTTATGTGTACGGTGTGCTGTGGAGAGTGCCTGGTCTGCTCAGAGGGGAATGGGGCATGTTAACAGTTGTTCTGTCTACTAGAGATGGAAAAGTTGGGACAGCACATAAATACTCATCCAGACTAAATGTCGAGTGACTTACTTGTTATGCCACATGGTGTCATTTCTTCCGCAGCACTGAAAGTGAATATCCAAATAGTAACTTCCACAATGCATAATGCTTCCCCTCACCCACCCCATCTAAAGGGGGGAGAAAAAAAAAGTGGTTTTCTCTTAGAGCTAGTGCAGCAATGTACATGTTTTTACTATTCACTAGTGTGGGTGGGTTGTTATCACAGGAAATAAGGAACAAAGCCAAACCCAACCATATAAAAACTCCTCATTATTGATTTTGTTGTCCTTTGTGCTAATGCTGTCCGCAGTGACAGTTGGAACTGACTAGTTGTACCAGAATCAATTTTTAGTTGAAAAGATAGTAAACCTATATTTTTCCATGACAGAGTCTGTTCAGTAAAATAATACTGTATATGTGTGATAAAGCATGATTAGATTAGTTGCAATTGGTGTCATAATTTGTCTGCTTTTTTACATGTCATGTTGTGAAACAATACTAACTTCATGACATAACTTGTAGTTCATGATTAGCTCCATCTTCATGCTCTTATCATGTACTCAAGCATTTCTTTCCTTATGTTGTGAATCTCATTGCGGAATGTTTCAGATATGAAACAAATTCCACTGTTACATGGTACTTTTCCCTGCCACGAAAACTGTTATATCTTGTGACGTGTAATTTTTTTAAAAAATTAAGCTAAAATTCACTTTTAAACATAAATAAAGAGTAGTTATGAAACTTCAGAGTATGCAGTATTTTTATTTAGTGTCTTATGCTGAAGGTAAATCCTGTGATCACCATTCTCTTAAGCAATTCCTGGAAGTATATTCTAGCTTACTTGAATTTTTAAACCAAGAGCTCAAAAGGTAACTGGTATTTCTTTTTGCAGATTTAATTTTTTTTTTAATTTTTTTTTTTTTAATAGATAAAAGGATACATGTTCACTTCAAGTAGAAAGGAGCATGTTCCCAAATTCTTCCAGCGTGGGTCGTTCGTCCTTCCCTCCAAAATATCAACAACAGAGTACTTTCTTCACTAAACTTCCTTTAAATATGCCTCCTACTCTTCTTTCTCACCAGCAAATTGTCGTTCCTCCGTTTCATTTTCGCAGTGGAGTGTAAGTACAGTAAGATTTGGTAGTAGGGGTTGGGTCTGAAAGAAATACGTCTCTTTATGGAGGATGGTTTTCACTGTTTATAACATTGAACTGCACTGATCTTCACAAAACGTGAAGATGTCATGCATACAAAAAAGAGCTAAATAATTTTCCCTTATAGACCTGCAAATCTAAATGCTTGCCTGCGATGCAAAATGCATGAGATGTAATGGCACTGATAGTGGCACTAATCCACAGATCTTCAATCGTATTTGTTTATTGGGGAGAACAGGGAGGAGATGAGAAGGGGGAGAAATTTATTTTCGGGTTTATATTTGAAGGCACTGTAGTGTTGTTTGGACTTCTGAATTTAAAAGTTCCTTAAGTGAATTTGCTTGCTAACCCCTTCTTACATATATGCTGTCAAGAATGAGCTTTTTCTGTTTTTAATGGAATACACATTATAAACTGTAATATATCTTCATGTTGAATAGAAAAGAAAGATGTATTCCTTCTGAAAAAACACCCAAGTGACAGGACTTATAGAATTTTATATTGAGTTAACAACAACTACCAACCCATAAAAAGTATCTTGGTTATCTTATGAATGATTGTTATGGACTGTAGTCTTTCTAGAGCTCTTGTGAGTGGGAACGCTGAAGCTACTCCAGCTGTTAATCCAGTTGTTACACTGCAACCAGTGACTTACAGAAGTGTCAGTCCAGTGTCTAAATCAGATGCCCAGACATCATTTCAAGGAAGGAAGTAAGTTCTTTGTATGTGTGTTACTAGTACTGGTTGTAATGTACAACCTGAAGCTGTCTGATATCAATTTCTTATGCAATTTGAGTTATGTTAGAAATTGCAATACTGAATATTTTTTCTTTTTGATGGAAGCAGGTCATGTATTGGCTCTTTAAAGCATTGTACCTATTTGAGAATCTTAGTACTTGGAAGTGACTTCCTGTACCTAGTTTTTCTTTTCCAGCATCTGTAGCCTTGCAGAAGTGTTCTGAGTGAGTTATTGTAATACTGCAGTGAATTGTGGTCTGTGTGGGCTTGACTTTAAGCTGGTTTGTGTCAAGAAATGTTTTCTTCCTTTTAATTTGTCAAGTTAAAAAGAAGAGTGCATCCTCCAAGTTTTATGGGAATTGTTTTGTTTTCCGGATGACACATTAAGTGTTTTTCCTAATTTTCCTAACTATGTGATGTATTGTTTTTCAATTACAATGTGTTAAATTCAAGCATATGTAAGTTCTTTTTTTAAGGATTTTATGGAAACCTAGTTTTTGTAGGTTTTTTCTAATTAACTTGGATTTGTATTGCTACTGTTGTTAGTTTAGTTACCACGGAAAGGAAAAATTTACATAAATGTAGAGTTTAATATTCTTTTAATGCTTTAGAAAAAATCCAGTTCTCTTTATTAGTTCAGATATACTAGTTGATACATGTTTCTAGTAATTGTGGGAATCAGCTGATTGGAAGGAGGTTCTTTGTAGTGTGTCTTTAGTACTATCTCCTGAATGCTATTTCTCTGCCAAATCTAACATAAAAAAATAAGCACAATCAAATAGATGCTGTTAAGTTATAGCTGAGTGTGTAATTATCCCATGGACTAAGGAAGCTCCTGGTTTCATGGTGCATGCATCTTTTCCTCTTGAGCAGTCTGTTTTATGACAAACTATGCTATGCTGGGAGATTTGTAGTCAGCTTAAACAAACTTGTCATTTGGGTTTCAGTTGGTTAAGTGCAGACACTTGCCTTAAATAATTGCATCAATCCAATTTTTGGGTAGCTTCATTTCTGCAATTTTGTGTTCTCTTTTCCCATTCCAGGTTTGTTTCACATAGTTCCTAGAATGGGCATACCTGTAGCATACTTGGGCTTAGTGAAGTAATGTCATTACTTGTTAGTATTTGAACTTTATAGAAACTGTTTTTTAATCATAAGTTGGAGCTTGTGAACTGGAGGAATTACACAGTGTCTCTCCCTAGGAGACAAAGTCAGCAGAGTGTTCCAGACGATGCCAAACGGCAGCGGATTCATTCACATGATTCTGATGCTGCTGTAGCTAACCAAGCAGTGCCTTTGCCAAAAGAACATAGACGCTCCTTCCCAGCGTCAGTTTCAGTTCGGTCTCCAGTGTTGCGTGCGGGTGGCTCACCGGCCTTAATTGGATGTGTACCTCGTTTGCAAGATACTTTGTTTCCAGATTGCACGGAAACCGGGCTCCCAGTTGCCAAGGACGAGGTAATGGCTTTCTGTACCTGTGCTTTACTTCTGCCTTCTGAGTGTGCAGAATCTAGAGGTACTGTAGGAGACCACAGACATTTCTGCCAGGGTTTTTGACAGTATCATGGGATACCTATTGGTAAGCTGCCATTAGAAGGAGTATTGACAAGTGTAGCTGCTGCTGTGGTTCTGTATCACCTCCTTGTCTGTGCTTGGGTTTGAAGCATTTTTATGGTAGCAGGGGAAGTCAAGGTATTGTTTCCCTGTGTTGTTTATTCACATCCTAATGTCAGGAAACCACATATCTGCTCTAGGAAGTAAAATTTGGAGAATGGTCCATTTCACACATGATACGAGGTGGGGAAAATCCTGACTAAAAAAAACCCACTGTAGTAATTAATATGAGAGAAGCCCGTTCTGAATAAATGCAGTATTTGGCCTGTAAAGATGTTTGCTACCTCTTTTCAGGAAAGCATAAAAGTTACTGTCATAGCTTTTCTGGAATATAGAAGAGAATGGAGTGGAGTTCAGAACTGTCTCTTGTTCTGCACCTACATGACAGAAGGGTTTTGGGTTTTTAGTGTAAATATGCTTGTTGATTATAGAATGTAACAGTATTGGGAAGGGAAAACAGTCAGTACCTCCTTCCAACAAAGACCTGACTTCATAATTAGTTTATCTGTGACAAAAAAGAAAGCTAATTTAAATCAGGTTTTTAATGATATTTTTCTCCCCATTCCTGGTAGGCAAACTGTTGACATTAAAGTCAGCAGAAGATATCTCTGGTCATTCACTACTTATTCCCTGAAATACTGCATATACTGATGATGCAAAAATTACTTTCTCTGGTTTGCCATTTTATAACCAATGGAACAAATTTAAATTTTAAAACTTGGCAGAAATTTCTTTAAGGAACTATTATTTGTGAATTTAAATGGAGTAAAACTCTAGACAATGGAGATGCTCGTGTAAAATGGTGCTGGGGGTTTTGCATTAAAAAAACCCAGCCTTCTGTGTTTCATGTAATTGCATCTGTGACAAGAAAGAATGTTCACTTTGCTGTATCTTTACTCTTTGTATGTGTGTTTCCAGTTAAGTAAACAGGTTTTGGAGGTGTTTCAAGCATGTCGGCAACAGGCCTCTGATTTGGACAGAAAAGAGCTTTGCAGAACAGAACTCCAGAGAGAAATTCAGCTAATTTTTCCACGTATGTTTTGAATCTAATTACTTAATATCACATTGCATGTTGTTCAAGTTCGTGATTCTTCCGTCCTCTCAAATTGTAATATGTCATATAATGTTTATTTTTTGTTACTCTTCTGTTACAGAAAGTAGACTTTTTTTGGTGGGGTCCTCACTGAATGGATTTGGCACTCGTACTAGTGATGCTGATTTGTGCCTAGTGATTAAAGAAGAACCAGTAAGTAATTTAAAATATACATAGTTAAAACAAAGTTTGGTTTTATGTATATGCCGTTAAAAGGCTGGATCCTAAAATGAGAAAAAAATACTCAAATCTTTTTTATTTAATAACATAGTTTTGCATTCATAATAGCTACAAACTTTGAGCTCAGTAATGTGCAGATAAGAATTCAACCCTATCAACCTAACAAAACTTATTTTATAAAGCTTTACCTTCAGTTCATTAGTGCAAAAATACAGCAAAAGGGAAGCAGATGCCTAGAATGATAAAGAAAACTGCTAAGAGAATTCGGCATCTTTTAGATGCAGAAATAACTTCTAATAAGTAAAATTTCATATTATTTAGATTCATAGCTACCAACTTTAATGATAAGGCATAAAAATTTGTTTAGTATCTTAAACGTTTTTAGTGAGAAAAATGTTATGAGTAGAAATTAGGTAATCAGAAAGGATCTCTGAAAGAAATTTAAATAGACCATAATCTTGAAAGAAGCTTAATTTAAAGGGGAAAAGAAGGAATTTTTGTGTAAATGGGGCCAGGTTTTCATCTAGGTCTGCGATTTTTTGAATGTCTGATAATCACTTCACTTATTGACTATGGGTTCTTCTGTCTGGCATTTACTGTGATAAATGTGTATGTAGGATGTAGAATGTGTTGGTGTACACGTTCATATATTATTCTGAGAACCAATTTAATTTTAAAAGCAAAGCATGCTTACTTTGAATATTTAAATCAGAGATACCAAATTTTTTCATTAATTTTAATATCACATTTCAGATGAATCAGAAGACTGAAGCAAGACGTGTACTCAGCTTAGTCCAAAAGCTCTTCAGTACTAAACTTTGTAAGTTATCATCTAAAGTGAGGTGGTAAGATTATTGGCAAGTCTGGAAGAAGTGTTGATGCTCAATTGCAACTAATGTATGTAATTGCATCTTGTCTAGGTTCTAATTACAGTACTCTTTGAAGAAAAGCTATAGATATTTAGTAATGTTACTTGATGCTGATCAATGGTATTTAAAAAAACAACCTTTTTTCTTGAAAACTATTGGACTTCAGTAATGGGTAATATCTCAGATGACTTTTGAGTTGCAACACAATGAGGAGGGAGTAGAGTTCTTTTTGGGAAGCCTCTATTAGTGAACTCTTGCTAATATCTTACATTGCAGTGTCTTCCTGGGAAAAATACTCTTAAGAATTTGTAAAATAAGTTGTCATTCATAATGGACTGTGTAGAATTGATTTTTTTTTTTGAGAAGTAATTAACATAGGTGCCTAATGAAGAAAGTAAAAAATGTTGACAACACCAGCACATACAGATAAAATGTGTCAATTCATAGTTTCTTTAACTTATTGTTTAGACTCCCTTCAGATTAAGAATTCACATGGGCAATTCTTGACTTAAATGTGAAAGCCTTCTACTTCAAAGAGGCTTTTGTATCTTCCTTTGAATTATAAAATACTCTAACATTTACTGATATCAATGACTTCATCACCCTGCTTCCCAGGCTTGTGGTATAGTCTTTGATGGTACTCCTTATAGTGATGTTCTGAAGAGTCCTGCAGTGCTGAAGGAACAAACCATAAATTTAAATGCAGACTTCAAAATTTCTTCATTGTGAAGCATGCACGCACAGATTTTAACAGCTCACATGGCAGAAGGACCTGATACATTGCTGAGTAGGCATCTGATATTTAGTGCTTATTACTACTGATTTAATACTACTGCTGACTTTGCATAAGTCTGAAAATTAGTCTGGGTTGGTCTGTGGTGCAGCTCACTCCAGTGCTTTCTGAGAGCACAGTGATAACATAGGTGTGTTTTCAGGGTTCAAGAAGCTTCTAAATGAGCAGTCTTTTTCAAGAACTCTTCTTCTGTGACAAAGTATTAGACAAAATCAGGTTTGTTTACCAGTATCAGAAAGATAATGATAGGCATGTGCAAGTGATCCCCAAGTGATTTGTGCCTTTGTCCATTTTTGATTTTGTAATTTTCTGATACCTTGCAAGTGTATTTGGTCAGGTTGATTTAATCAAAATATTCTATGGAAGGTAAGGCAGGACAAAGCACTGGTGAGATTACCACTCCTGTCAGGCTTGCTTAGTTGTGCTATGTAGTCCTCTTACCTATCACCTCTTCAGAATCGTAACATCACTATGGCATTAATTCCTATTTGTAGCAGTGTGTCCTACGTCTGTGTGTGGATGTTTTGTGAATAGAACTAATACACAAAAGTTGGTTAAAAATGTTCAAAACCAAAAGGCTTCGGGACACAGATTTAGCTAATCTAGATTTACACCTAGATTTAGCTAAGTTACAGCTAGATTTAGCTAACTTACACGCTATATCTCAGTTATGCCAAGGTTTAGTATTTCTGGGACAGGAGGTGTCCTGGTTTCCGGTGAGATAGTAATTTTCTTCTTAGTGTCTGATAAAATGCTGTGATTTGGATTTAATATGAAAATAACATTGGTAACACACTGAAGTTTTAGTTGTTCTCAGTAGTGCTTACTATAAATCAAGGAGAGCCTGTGTACTTAAAATGTGTGAAGCTGCTTCTGGTAATTATTTTCAAGTTTTTGTTGCCCTGTTAGCATCTATGATATTATCCTATAATTTTAAGGTAATACCTCTCTGGCAATATTAGTTAAGTATTTCTTTCTCTCTTCTGTAGAAGAGAGACTGCAGCATATTTTTAACAAGTGTGTGAGCACTCATAAAACTTACTGTTGTTTCACAGGCGAGAACAGAAATAAACATAGTTTGGGCCAAACATGAAAGCTAGAAAAGTGTGTGCCAAGATGTAAGAAAAACAACAATGGGGAGAAAATACAAGATGCTATTTAAAATAAGTTCTTGGTCTGGATTTTTGAGAGAGTTGAAGGACAAAATGAAATAAGGAGGCTATTTGTGGCATAGGTAAAGTTTTAGAGCTTTTTTTAGCCTTCTTCCAGATCACTTTGGTTCAGAAACTTGGGAGAAGTTTTTTCTGTCTGTGCCTCTTGCAACATCTGTCTTTGTTCTTGTACTCTGCAATCTTCTTCTGCATTCCAGTATAAGGACAGTAAAATTGTGACTCTGTGCTTATTTCACCTTAATTCTATGATGGATAAATTAAGAAGCACTCCAAGTGCAAATTAGATCAGTCCCTTTCACAATTTGTTTTGTTTTCAGAACTTTAAGTGCCATCTCTTTTATCCTTCATTTAGAGTTTAATGTGATTGTTAGATTAGGAGTTTTGGGAAGTGGATTCAAAATTTGTATAAACTCTGTCTTGTTTCAGATTTGTAAAAGGTAAGAAGTCTGAGCAAGGAGTTATAGTCTATCAGATTCTAATTCTTATAGCAGAGGCTTTTCTCTGTTGTCATTTAGCATCTGGAATACCAACTGAAATGAAATGTGTTCTGTTTTTGAATAGTCTAATAACAGAGAAAAGTGGGAAAAAGCTTCTGATATTTTATTCATTGTTTTTGTGTATATCTAAACCACTGAGAGTAAATGTCAGACTGACTCCTCACTTCAGATTCATCTGTGTGGGACTCATTTGAAAAACACCTTGATAGTATTAGGTTGACAGGTCTTTACGGTCTGCATAAATAGCAAAGAGCTCATTTTCCCTTAGATTTACAAAGAGGTACAGTAGCATTGAGACTAGGGTATCAGAGTGAAATGTGCCTAATGGTGGTCTAGTGAGAAATGTGTAACAGCTGGGATAAGCAAAGGAATTTGAACTCAGTTGAATGACTTTGAAGGACTATGCAGATCATTGAGTGAATTCCAAAAAATCAGCAGTTATCCTGTGGTGGATTGTCCCTTCCTAGATTCTTCATGAATGTGGATTCAGACCTCTGTGTTTCTCCTTCTGTAGTATAACCAGGTCAATAAGAGCATGCTACGTGCCCAGGATGTCAAAGATCTTCTTGGCATATATCATGTTTGGGATCAATATTCTGTACAATTGCTTAATCCTTCATTATGTAAAAGAAGAGAGGGAATTAAGCTCTTCGGTCTGAAATTCTGCATGAAGAAGTTATATATGAAGCAATGCTTAGTCTTCTTTGAAGCCACTTATATTCTTTTCTGCTGACCTGAAGTGGTGTTCTTGACCTTTCCATAGACATGCCTAAAACTGTGGAGCAGCTGTACAGATTTCTTTTCATGTATTTTCGTGTAGCCTCTCTGGTCATAGCTTTCATGATCACATAGTCAGTTTACTAAGGCACTTACTCAAACTTCAAGAATTCCACACCCTGTATTTGTGACTGTTTCTTCCCCTGTATGCATATGTAAGGTACAATACAAATTCTGCTAACAGCATCATTGGTCTGAGCCAGGAAAGAGGATACTGGCAGGAAGTTACTGCCTTCTAACTTCGTCTTAGATTTTCTGTCTTCTTCCTTGCTTTTTACCACCCTGTGAAACAGGTTGAGATTATGTTTTGGGTTGTATCTTTTTTTCTTAGCCAGCTAATTTGACACAAGCATCCATCAAGTGTAGGGAGCCATTTGCACACAAGTATGTGTTTGGAAGAGGCTTGTCCCTAGAATGAGGTCAGTTAACCTCTAAAGAGCATTAGGAAGGGTCATAGTGAGGAAAGTTGAATTGCTATGGCATACAGATAGATGTCTACCATTGCCTACCATGTGTTAGTGCACATAATCTTTGTTGTAAATTTGTTAGTGAATAGAGAGGAGGCAGAGAGCTCTGCATGCTTTAGACTCTCACTTTAAAAATATTCTGGGATGCTGGAGGAGACATGCCTGGGTGTATCGGAAGGTGCAGCTAGAAGGAGGGGATGCTTGTGTTAATTTAGCAGACAGTGAGCATGAATTTAAGTTTCTCCATTTAACATCAGTAAATTAGTAAGATTGTCTTTTATTCTGAGTGCCAGTCTGTGTGTTGCTTAGGCTTGTGCAATGCATTAAGATGCAGATAAAAGATTGCCTCAGGTCAAATCTGTCTGAATATGCATATACACAAAACAGTTTCAGAAAGTCTCAAAAAAAAATTTGTTTTAATTGAGTATTGCACAGATTTTGTTTCACCAAATATGAATTTGTCATCCAAAAGCAATGGAGATTACGCTGTTTAATCAAGCTGGCTGTTCAGCTGATAGAAGTACCTTGTTGCTTTTTCTGGAGGGAAAGAAAAAATAATTTTATTCAAGGTTATTTTTGGTCTGTATTACTTGTACTGTGCATGCTTATTTATGCTAATCAGAGGTTAATTTATAAAAACAATGGGAAAATGTGTGATGTTGGGTATGGACAAATTCAAGTGGTCCTAGATTTGGCAACAGAAGTAATTACTAAAATCACACCTTATGTACAAATTCATATCATATAACCTACAGGCTCTACCTTTCTTTCTTCTTTAATACTTTCTTGGGCACAATATTCATTCAGGATTATGGGAAACTACTGAATATAGGCTGAGGTATCATGAAGTCTAGGGAATTCACAACATTGTGGCTGATGCAACAGCTTTGGGGAGCTGAGTGTGGAGGGTGCATTTGGTAGCCTACTGTGTAGGTAATCATCTCGTCATCATTATCAGTGTGGATTTATTGCTTGGATTTATTGCTAACAATATTAAAACAAAAGGCAGAGAAAGGTTATCCTATCTTTGATAGAAAGAAAGAATGAAAATGTTATCGTGTTTTCAGTAGCATTTCAAATGAACAGTTTTCAAAACAAGTTTTAAGCCTATCATTAGCCCATCCTGGTTGGATATGTTCTTGCTCCTTTATTTTTGTACCTTAATTATAACTATGCAGGATTTGTATTTCAAGTACTGTTCTATGAACCCATCTAGTACTGCATTCCTTATGTTAAAATTTCTGGAATATATTTCTCTCAGAAAAGTCTTCTACTTTATGTTCTACTTACTTCTTCTCTAATGTTTAGTGTGAGGGATGTTCCACCTGCTTTCATAGGTTGTTTTTTTACTACAGTTGCTAAAGGTTGCTTAGTTTAGCACAACCTCGCTAAATTTAATAAGCTGCTATTTGCTATAAATCAGTCAATTAGATTCTATTACAGGATCTTTTGCTAAGATCTGCATCTTGCATGAAACTTAATTGCATATTTTCTCCCTTTCAGCAAGCTACATTGAGCGACCTCAGCTGATCAGAGCAAAAGTGCCAATAGTGAAATTCAGGGATAAAGTCAGGCAAGTATTCTGTTCAGCCTAATCTTTTAGACTTTGACATGGGAAAGTATTCTATATGTGTGCTGCCTTACAAGTAGTCCCACTGTTTTGTGTGTTTATTTGTGTGGTACTGTAATTGTTATCCCAAATTTGTGGAGCTAGCATGCAGTGGCAGTCAGCTTATTGACTTGATGGTCAGAATCTCCTCTTGTGGTTGAGATGCTATTCAGTTCCTGTGATGAGAATTAGAAATAGTATCTCACTTATTTCTATGGGTTATTTGTACATAGTGGATTCCCAGTTAACAAATGGTTTGACAGAAAAACAGTGGTGGGAAGAGAACTGTTGTGAAATATACTTTCACTTGTTATGCAGACATAACTGTTGAGCTATACATACAACATTGAAACAAACTAGTTTGTGATGTTTCCTTGTATTTATTGTATATTCATTATGAAGATATGAGAATAATTTAGAGGGATGTACTAGGACAGATAATTATTTATTTCTTTTTGTATGTGGTAAAAGTGTCTGACAGGAGAAAGTCATGCAAACACTGAAATATGTTGACAGTCTGAGTAAAGTTCATTGTGTTCATTGGCTTAGTTTTGTAACACTGATATGTATCGGTTTCCTATAGTAACATCATGTCCTGTAGTAACATCATCCTTCTTCGTAAATTGGACTTTGAGGAACTTTAATGTAGCTCTCTTAACCTGTCTGTACAGTTCTAAAATTTTGCAACCCTGTCTTTTAAAAACAAATAGGCATACTTTTCTGGCCTCTTGCTATGAAAGCATAATACAGAATGTTTTTATCATTATATAACTTTATCATGGCTAGGTTCCTGCCCTGATAAAACTAAATCTATCATGTTTGCAATTTGAACTAATCTATATCGTCAGTTTAATCTTTTGTTTCATCTGAGATTATACACACTTGTTGGGGTTTTTGCTTTACACTTTTTTCTTCATTTTAGCCCAGTCCCATATTTACTTGAGTATAACTGCCTACTTTTTAAAAAAATTGGAATGTTTTTTTACTTTCTTTTCTAATACTACAGCAGGTTGTTTCTTCCATGGTTCCTGAACGTATGGTACTTGGCAAGCTAAAATTTGGGTTATTTGGATTAGCTACATATAGCAATGCTCGTCTTTATATAAATGAAATTATACATTCCTGGTCCAAATATTGAATGAGTTGTGGGATTATAGCAAGAATATTTTTCCCCAGTCTAAAATGAGAAAATAAACTTTGAAGAGACCTTTAATATGGAACAGATAGAAGTGATTGTGTGAGAAGACGGAAGTCTTTTTGTAAGCACTTGTAGTCCATAGTACCAGATCACTTTCAATAAGTAAGTCATGATAATTGTATACCTTACAGGTAGGATTTAAAGAACTCTTTATTTCCCACTAAATCAAAGTATGATCTTCTAAGACTAGAAGCAGCACATTATATTTTTGCAGAGTAAAAAGCAGTATGGTCCATCATATGGTTTTCCATCTTCCACATTGGTTTTGTGGAGAGAGGAGTGGCAGTGAACGTCATTTTGGATTTGGGATTTTTTTTAATTGAAATTTGGTTTTGTTTTGTTTTCTGTCTTTACGGTTATCTTACTCTTACATAACCTGTCACCACCATGTTTTGCCTTTTTATTTAAGCATTTGTCTTTTTCTGGTCTCTTACTGGCCTCTTGTCTTTTGTAGCCTCAGATGTACAAAAAATGCATATGCATGCATTTTTTCACAGAGGTCTTGAAAATTGGATTGGATATCCTGTACCCAGGGCACTAAGCCTGTCTTTGCCAAAATTGAAACTAAAGATTACAAGCTTCCTGTGAGAGCTGGTTTTTAGTTGGGAGTTTTTCTCAGCTGCTGGGAGAGGGTGGTTGTTATCTCTGTACTGGAGATGAGCATTCTAATGTGTTACCAATAACTGAAATATATATATATCATATATAACTGAAAATTACTGTTTCCCCTTACTTTGATTCAATGAATGAGAAAGCATTCAGTTTGTATTTGTTCTCTTTTATAGCCTTTAAACTTGGGGTTTATAGTGCTGTAAGAGAAAATCAACTGCCATCTTTTTTTTTTTTGGTAGTCTTTCCCAGGAAATTATTGTAATACTGGTTCTGCTTCCTAGCAAGGCTTTGATCAGTTATCAAGATCTTTATACTACAGAAGATACAAAAAACTTCCTCTTCTGCTACAGTTGATGTGCAGTTGACTCTTTTCTTCTCCTTTAGTGCTTTTTAGTAGAACCTGAGTCCAAGCAGTACAAAATCTTTTTCACTTACCACCACTGCACCAGCTAGTAAACATGCAATAGAACTTGCTTCAATCAGCATCTGGTAAATAGTCTTGTTATCATGGATTAATTGGTATTACACATGCTGTCTGACATTTGCACATGCAGTTAATATTCTTTTGGGTGTTCATGCTTATATTTACAACTCTGATGTGGTAGCTGAAGCTTGTTTATTTCCTATACTGTTATGTACTATATTCTTAAAACATATAGAAGATTATGCTTGATACTAACTCAGGTTTAAAATTATGCAGTGGTTTTGATGCAAAGAATATTTTGATGTAAAAATCGTATAAAAGATGCAAAAAATGTAAAATGTTCAAAATACATTAAAAAGTTCTTGTAGGCCTCAAATTACTGTCTTTTACAAACTTAATGAATTTCAGGTCCATGTTCCCCTTATATAATCAAGAAAATCCAAAGTATTTGGGTGAACAAATGCTATGTAAATGAAACTCGTGCATGTAAAATGGAAACAGCTGTATAGCACATATAGAGCTACTTTATCTAATAATAGGCTCATCTTGTTGCAAGTTAGTGTTGATATGGAGTATTGACTATGAGTGCAATATAATTTCTTGAGTTCTGTGAGTAGTTAAGCTCTATATGCAGTAGGAAATTCAAACTTAAGGGCAGGTCGAGTTGTAAATAAAGCATTTAGTGTTTGTTTGCCTTATTTAATCTTAACAGAATGAAAAGTATCAAAACTGTTTTATTGCAAAACATGCGCTGTTTATCAGAATTTGTTTTGTTCCTACATACTGATTCTCTCTTACTGTCATTGCAGAAATGGCTCTTACCTTCTGACCTCTTCCAGTTCTCTTTCTCAGTTCATTGGCATAATTTCCTAAACTAATAACTCAGAGAATCCTTCCTGGTATCAAAACTTAAATGTAATAAATCATGTAGTGCAAGTGTAGTTGGGAAAAAGATTTGGTAAAAAATTAAAAAATATATCCTAAAGTTGTCCTAAAGTCTAAATTTGTATCTACATGCATTCTTCATGTAAAACAACAATAACATTTTTATAACAAAGGAGTTCAAGACTATACGTTTTTCAGGTGCTATCAACAAAACTAAATCATGGCATTTAAAACTCTGAAGAAAGTTTCTAGGGCTTTATATTTAAATTACTTGTCACCATATCTGTCATAGACTAGGTCGTAAACATTCAGAAATTGAATACCATGATGCTTAATTTTTTTTTTCCTCCCTAATAGCAATGTGGATTTCGACTTGAATGTAAACAATGTGATAGGTATAAGAAATACATTCCTTCTGAGAAGCTATGCATTCAGTAAGTTTTTATTGTATTTTCTTATTTCTTTAAACTTTGCTTTTAGAGTTTGTATTTTGGTATTGATATGCTATGAAAATTTAATATATTACTGTATATATAATTACCTATTTAGCTACATTAAGTAGATAAATTCTTGTTGCTCATTCTAAATACATGGAGAAAATTGCCGTATGTTTCTAATTGAATATTGTAATATTGAGAAGATAAAAAAGATTCCTCATATTCAGGTCCGTATATCTACTACAAGGGCTACTTTAGGTATTCTGCAGATAATAAGATCATGATAGTAATGGTTATCTAGTGGTATGATCTCCAGCTTCTTTTATTTCCTTACAGCCAGTGACAGTATGGATGGCTGATAGCCAGCTATATCTGAATGCTGTTGCAGAGTCTTTGCTTGGAAAATCCAAAATACTCCTTCAGTATTTATACTAATCGCAAATCAAAATTGGTTTGTGTCTGCTCAGGAGTTTGCATTTTAGGGAGAGATTGTGAAACAGCCTTGTGAAAGGAAGGTAATAACAACAGCCCTCTTAGTGGTAAACTAAGAGTTTCTTTCTTAGCATTGCAATGTCATTTGTCAGATAAGTACATAAAGGAGTATGCCTCAGCCTTTTTCTTCTAGGGCATTTGTATTTATTCCTTTACCCTCTTCTTCAGTTTTTGCAGAAAGTAATTTCTTTCTATTTAGGGTAGGGAGTTACCAATAGAAGCTATCTTCACTAGCTAATTTTTAATAATATTTCAATCAAAGTAGTTTGTGTTCCATATTCATGTTACTAGGAGAGTCTACAACTTGTCCTGGATCAGTTGGTTAACTGTAATTTCTTCATACATTCAAGAAAGTTTATGGCTGGAAAAGGATTTGCTTCCAAGTATTAAAACTATTAGGAAGTAATCATTTTTTGGGCAGTCACTTCATGAAGTCTAATGTTGATATACTGTTTCGAACTTCTGTCACAGATTGTCATTTCTCAGAAAATCACTGTAGGGCAGACAAGACCAGATGTGAAAAGAGCAGTGGAAGCAGTCCTAGTATCCCACCTTCTCTTCTGTTGTGCTGTGGTGCTCACTTTTATAAGGCAAGCAAAATTAACTTCATGTTTCCTGATGAAGGCTAAATAGGGTCAAGGAATGACCTCAGTAGCAAAGGGAGACCTGTGATTGAAAATATTCTTCTCAATGTTCTGGACCTTCCTAAATAGTCAAACTGTATCATACAGCATATAGCTTGTCTGTCTTGTCTTCCTTGGACCAGAAAACTCAGGTGACATAAGACACACAAAACTAAATGGACGCTTTTATCAGACTGTCTCCAAACTTTTTATAAGTCATATGAGCAAGGGTGGTTAGCCTTATATGTATTATCCTGCTCACTTAAATGTGTAGTTGAAGGTCTATGTGTAGTTGAAGGTCTTCAACCTGCATGGGGGAAAAAAATTATCAAATTACCTCTGATGTGGAGGATGTATTTGTCTGTTTTCCATTGGAACAAATTAGATGCTCGGGCAAACAAAGGACTAACTATCTTAGTGAACATGATAAAAAAGCTAAAAGTCAAAAATTTCTGTGGATGCTCTTCTTTCTGTTTTGAAGTTAACTCTTCTGTGCTGGTGCATGAGTGCTCTTGAAAACATCGAGGATGATGAGGCAAGCTGACACAAAACATCCACAGAAAATGTAGGTAGATTAAGCAGAGCTAGAAGGTGAAGTCTTCAGCAAACCAGTGGTTTGTTGAAGGGGGATGTCTGTGATTAATCTGCAGTTTTTGCTAGATATTTTTTTGTTAGCGGAGGCTGGACTTTTTAGCTTTGTGCAAATAACATTACTGAGCATTTTCTTGGGAGACAGCTTGTATCGAAGTATTGGACAAAGTTTACTGGCCAAATTGCACCCTATATTTGTTATATACTAGTTAGAGGCACCAGCAGACAGAAGTTAACATCTCAAAATGAGGTCAACTAAAAAAAGATCTTTTCTACTGTGACACAAAATAGCTGTTTGAAACTGGAACCTATTTGCATTTCTCTCTCATGGAAAAATTCCATTCCAATTAGTGTATCTTCATGTGGTATCTGTACAGTACTTTTTTGGCAACTCACAATTAGTGTACTAAGTTATATCTTTTAGTTTAACCATTGGTGAACAATGTTAGGAATAAGGTGATTAGTGGTAAGGAGTTTGGTTGTTTCCAAATGATCTAGTATAAGATCTATAATGTAATATATTATAGATCTTATACTATATAGATAGATAGATATAGATATATATCTATAATATATTCCAGATGATCTATAATATAAGATCTAGTAGGACATTCGTTCTGAGAAGAGTACCACTTACATGGGCATGTGTGCTGAACAACTCTGAACATGTTGTGAGAAAATCATGCTTGATAGTTTTACAGAATAACAGAGAGCACCCCAGCTGATCCAGTTGTAGGATGTCGTTTGTCCTTGTGTCCTGATAAGCAGAATACAAAACTTTGTATAGTGATGTCAGGTTAGAAAAGATAGTCCAGAATGTATAATCTTTTTTTGATTATCTGCTTCTGCATACCTGCAAATAATAAATTATTCTACAGAGTCCCAGGAGTTTGTGGTGGATGGTCTACCTACAATAGATTAATACTTTAATTAGAAGGTTATCTATATTCACCAGAAATTCAGAAGATCATACCTGGCATATGGCTGTATTTATGTTTTTCCTTAAGAAATGCATATGTATTAATTTAAAGATATATTGTATGTAAGATGTCATTTGCATAAAAAGCTATTGAGCACAAGGCAAATTTAAAATTATGTTTGTATGCAGGGATTACTGCTGTCATATATGGTGATGTAAACTTTAGAATCAGCTGTGTCCTCCAGCCGCAATAATTCTTTTCCCTGCCTTCAAAGTTTGTATGCCTAAATAAAAAAATAACATAAGGTCTGTCCTTACGGCAGCAAGTTTTTCCAAGGAAAATTGGTACAATGAACTGGAGAGACCTTAGATTAGAAAGATGCTTTGCATATTTCCTAGTATACCTCTTGTGATGTGTCTGTGGAGTTTACTACTCAAAAGGCTGTTTGCAAATGCAAGTACTATATTTTGATTTTTATAAGATGGGTAGTAATTGTAGAATTCTATAAAATGCCTGCAGAATGTAACCTTAGAATACAAAACTACCACGTTGATCAAGTAAGAGCAAATGTTGATTAATTGCTATCTAGTTAAATGTACTTTTCTGAGGTCTGTTTATTTTACTTGCAGTTGAGAATCGAGTTCGTCCATTAGTACTTGTTGTTAAGAAGTGGGCAAGTTTTCATGAGATAAATGATGCCAGTCGTGGTACTTTAAACAGCTATAGTCTTGTGTTGATGGTTTTGCACTATTTACAGAGTAAGTATTTTTTACATGTTTAAACTGTCACTTTTAAGTTCATATTTGTGTAGTTTTCCTCTTTACTGAAATAAAACAAGCATCTGCTACACAGAAATACTTAAAAGTAAAGTGAGTTTTTCTCCATTTCCTTAGTGTTGCATTTGTCTTTAACAAGTGGACCTGCTGTTTGGAGGCAGAGTTACCACCTTTAAAAAGGTTTTGAAAAAAAAAAAAAGTATCTGGAGGACACTGTGTATCTAGAAAATAAACTCAAGTACAACTTCATGAAACTGCATAAGGACATTTACTGTAGTCATCTCTGGCAGCTGCCACAGCTGTCTAGGAAAGAGGCAGAATGGGTTCAAATAATCCTTTTCATGCAAAACTGTGATCAGTCAGCTTGGGAAGATCAGCATGTCCAGAAACCACAGAGGAGCCTTCTACCTGTGCTTCCTCAGCCTTTTCTGTGGGGGGAAAAAAAAAGGCATGAAAAAAAATCTGAGTTGTGGCCCTGTACACTGTACATGCATCTAAGCACCAGATTTTTAGGTTCTGATGTTTTATTCATGCAGATTTTAAGCATTTTTCTCTACTATATGCATGTGATGTTCCTGAAAATAGCCTCTCCCAGAATTTCTAATAGTGTTTTTGTTGATACTGTGGAGGGAAAAAAAGAACACCTTTCTTTTGCACTAGCGTCCCTGCCTTCGCTAGGCAAATTTCTTTTCTATACTTATTTCCATATTTTTATGTGGATGTCTTTGGATCCAAGTTTAGCGTGGCTTGAGTTTATTTTGTAGATACATCAGTATTTTGTACATGAACTTTCTTCCAGATAATATGTCTAATTAACTTGAACAGTAAGAAAAGGAAACTCATAGAGCAAATGCTAGTGGTAATTTTTCCCCTCCCATCCATCCTCTTAGTAAAGCTTACTAAAGCATACACACCTAGGTACTACACCTTGATTATTTGCTCAGATTTTGTTGCCTTTTAATTTAGTGTGGTAGAGAACTGGAAAGTATCCAAGATGTTGCAGAAACCTGGACACCCACAAACAAAAATGTTACTGAAGCAGCTGTGATAATTTTCTTAGCAGTCCTGATAGTATATTCTACTCTTTGAAGATACTTCAAGCACATTCTAAGAATTTTGCTGTTCTGATTCTTAGTCCCTATGGCAAAAGGATTCTGTGACATCTCTTCACTTGTAAGACCTTATGGAACAGTGAACTAAGTCCCAAGTCCAAGACCTATGTACTGCATTGATTTATTATTTTCCCTAGTGAATGATGTAGTCCCATTTTTTAAACCATGCTGAAGGCATGATGTTAAAGCCTTAGTTTGAGGAGTGCTCTGACAGTTCTATAGCTGCTTCAGTAGGATGTAAATACTTTGGGATTTTGATTTGTCTATAGGACCAACTAATCTGGGTGATTTTTTTTTAATGTATCTGATTTATGTAGTTCAATAGTTGCACTCCCAATCCATGGTTTTCATAAAAGCGACCAATATTTAGATAATTTTGTGTTTCTTAGTATTGTTAACGACTGCATGATCTTCATAACATACTTGCCATTTAGCAGACCAGCTAACACTATCATACTGTATTTGTGGCTTTTATGGGGATTTTGCTATCAATGCCTACTAAGTGTGTTGAGCATTTTTTAATAGGTTACATTTGGAGACTCAGTATGTTCTCAGTATGAAAAACATGTTCTTTTGCAGTAAATAGACTCATTCATAGAATTGTATTAGATGTAAGGAAAAAAGATGAGTGAAGCTCTATTTTTTAATTTAGGGAATCTAGATGATTTTCTTACAGCCATGAATTCTGAATATGAATTTCAGAAATAAAGCTGTACCCAGCTGCTATAGAATTTTTCATGCCTTTTGCATATAGTAGTATCTTGGTAAGAACTTTCATTAGCTGAATAAAGTTCCTGAAGTACTGCATATACAAAATACAGTAATAGAAATGTTTGCCAAATAACTTATTTTACAAAATGCATGAAAGTGAAATTCTTGATAAATGTTTTTAAGACAGAATTTCAGTGCAACTCTTTGGTGTAGTTGATATGATATTGCTTCCATGTGAATTACATGAATCACACCAACTTTGACCTTTTTTTTTTTTTTAATAGCCTTACCTGAACCCATCCTTCCATCCCTCCAAAAAAATTATCCAGTAAGTGTTTCTTATTGATTTACTACATCATATATGTGTGTGACCCTGCTTATCTAAATATATGAATTCTTAACTATCTCTAATGGATTAAGTTGAATTAACAGCTTGTAGGTCAGGTCATTGATATGCCAGACCTAAGTGTGAAAAAGATTATTTGCTGCTTATGGTAACTTCTTTAATGAAAATAGTGTTATATAGGGAAGATTTGACACACAGTTAGAAGAAAGTGCTAATGAAAACCACTGACCTAATTCTCTTTATGATGGTCTGGAAATATCACTGTGTCAGCTGTAACTTTCTGGTTCCTGTATCTTAATGTGTTAAGTAGTGCTTTTTCATTCAGCTCTGTTGCATCAGAATGCCATACCTCCCTACAGCTGTTGAGTTACCTGATATTTCCATGTGCAGAAAGTGCAATACATGATGTACTAAGGAAACTTGAGACATCACAAAGTTTGACTTAAGTCCAAAAAGAAAACACCTTTTTGGAATTTTGCTATTGTAGTCAGGTCATACTCCGTTCATTTCTGGAGAAGTCAATGCATCAGTATGCTTTGGTCCCTGCAGAATTAGGAGTGTTATTAGTGAGATTTAATGTATGAATAATTATCTAGAAGTAAGAACTGCCCTCCTAAATATTTGTGCACAGAAGTGCTATTGCTGAATAGCTCTATGCCATAATTTATTTACAAAAATTCCTTGATTCCTTCCTCTTTCCTATCTCATATGTCTTACTTAAATTTTTTTCTTTATTCATAGTTGACATAATTTGGTGTTCCTGTCTACATATGGGGGGTTTTTAATTGGTTGCGGGCAATTGTTCTGAGCTGGTATAAGAAAGCCATTCTGTCTTTTTCCTATATTTCCCATAATGCTTAAATGAGAATATTTAGTGGTGCTGAACATCAGGGAGAAAATACTGTGGTGACAGCCATTTTGGGAATTGAGATAATTGAGATGCAGAAGAAAGCATTGGGCAGTAATTTACTGCAGTTTTATTTATTTGTTGTAAATAGGCTTAGGGATACCTGTGCTATATTTTTATGGTCTTTATCTTTTCCTGTTATTTTTATATGGTACTCTATACCTTCTAGTTTCTTCATTGGGAGTCCTGAAGAGCTTTTGAATCTTTCATTTCTTGTACGTTTACCTTTATCTGATAGGTTTTTGAATTGCTAGATTTGCTAATTACATTTCCTTAAAGTTTGTGTGCTGTAGTATTCTAAGTTTTGTGTAGCATGTTATTTAGAGAAAAGTGTTTAGAACTGGCAACGTTTGACTCTTCTGTATTTATAAAGCAGACATTTATATTTGTCATGTTCAAACTTTGTAGAGACCTTCAGAATACTGTACAAATATTAATGCCTTCAATCATTAAAGCAAATGTATACAGTACCTTAAGCTGAAAAATCTAATTAATCTAAATGCAAAGTTTTATCTTGTATTGTGTGAAAATGGTAAATCACTTGCAGGTGAGCACTGCTGTAAGAACTGCATTTTTGCCCTCTTCTGATACAGATTATACTTGCTTTTGTTGTTCTTTCTTTTATTTGGAAAATGGACGAAATATTCTAGAATTGCTAACAAAATCAGAAGAATATTTTATACATGCTTACTGCAAACCAAATTGCAAGTACGTTTTCGATCTATTGTCTCCATCAGAAATATAATTAAATGTTTAAAAATTTTGAAACTTGAAATTTCTGAATACTGATATTTTGAAGGAATTTTAAATGAAATATACAAAGCAATAAAGCAATTTTGGTCTTGTGGCTTGCAGTAATAATTAAAAAGCACAGGCAAATTTCAGTATCAAAAAAACCCATATATTTTTCTAATGATTGTAGCTGGTCAGAGTTGTGTCTCTAAACAAAAACTATACAAACATACTGCATCTTCCCTATATACACCTACCCACAGTTTTTCAAAATAAAATCTGCAGCCTGAAAATACTTCTGTGATCTGGAGGAAACTGGTTATCTTAAATCGTTGGTACCATATAGGAGAGCCATGCTTACATTGAGGAGGAAACAAAAGACAGATTTTGGGTCTCAGTGAATCCTTACTACAGATGTGAAGGGTGAGAAGTCCTGGAAAGCCACCAGATTTGTCCACTTTTGCATTCTATTGTCATGGGGAAGTTTCCATCTGGCACCAGGCTGATGTGTTTTGCAGCCACTAGTTTAGAGGCAGTGTCAGACTACATCAAATGCAGGGTTGTATTCTGTGGCTTCCCATGCCCCCTGGCCAGGTAAGGTAGATGACAATAGCCCGCCAAGTGTGTTCATCAGTTTTGAAGGCTATATAGTACATGCTTCCATGTCAGGAGTTCACGGATAAGCTCTAGAGAACCTGTGGTGGATTAAACCATTGTGGCTGGTGAACATAGCTGTCACTGGCACTCAGAAGGAATGCCTGCCTCATCACTGTTCAAGAAGTCTGGTGTTTTAACTGAAGTAAAGATGAAATTGGGTTTCCATGAGTGCTCTGGATGGTGAACTTCAAGGACTCCAGCACATTTTTGTTTCTGCTGCCTCAGCTTCATGTCATGTCTTGAAAAGGGTGGGGCAGAAGGTGGGATGGTCCTTAACATGGGAGTCAGCCCTTGGGAAGACACAGTTTGCTTCACACCCAGTTGCACTTTAAAAAAATATAAACATGAGTTAAGTACTCATTTGTAGGACTGGGGAAGAGAATACTTTAGGTGTGCCAAGACATTATGCTGATTTTACTACTAAATTTTTTTGAACAGAGGATCAATATATATCAAAATACTCAAATACAAATCTTATTTTGATGTACACTTGTGTTCCTTTCCAGTGTGTAAGGTGGAATGGGCATACTTAAAAGCAATATGTAGCTTGAACATGAAGCATGTTGCTGAAAACTGGTCTTTCTTGAGAAATCAGCCAATCAAGATAAAAATTAGAGATCCAGCAAAAAAGGAAAAAGACTTTCAGGTCTCTCTTCTGGGGTATCTTAAAATAATGTAGAGCTCATTTGTATTTGTTGCTCAGTCAGATCCTGAATCTAATTTCTGTCTCTTAAGATGGCTTGAGGCAAAGACACAGTCAGTGATATAGGGACTAGTTTTAATAGAAGCTGAATCTTTTGCCTTCTAGAGCAAGTTAAGAAAACATACTTTGAAAGGTGCTTTGTAATTCCTTTTTTTTAGCAACCTCACCTATGTGCAGAATCTGTAAGCCATACCTTGTTTTGTTTGTCTAGTTATTCCCTGAATCCCTCTAGTGGGAAGGAAAATACTGTTATCCTTGTTTTACAGCAGGTGAATGGAGATGAGTTGATGCTAGGGGATTATGATGGGTTGTCTGTGGCAAAGCAGAAAAAAAAATAGCTAGGTATCCCTTAGCTGGTCCGACCTCTTGTTCACTGGACACTGTGATTCCTTTGTTAAGAAATTACCTTAAATTACATTGTTGGTAATTGAATATTGGTATATCTTGACAGAAGCCTTCACTAAATCTTGCCAATTTTACGTAGCAATTAATTTGGTTTTATGTGTAGAACTTTCTAATATGCTAATAGCGACTTCTTACGGAACAAATTTTCTGTATTTCAGAAAGCTTAAACACTTGGTTTTGCCTTCTCTGTGGGGTGATCAGCAACCCACAGTGTGTAAAAAATAAATCTACTAACAGTATCACAAACATGTGATTAATACATTGCTTTAGTTTCCCATAATAAGTCTTACTTTCTTCCAGAAAAGTCATATCATTGATGCCTTCTATTTTGCAATACGCAGTTGTCTTTTAAGAGCAGTTTTTATAGTGGCATAACCACTAAACCAAGTGGAAATGAGAATCACTCATACATCTCTTAAACTAGGTGGTTGGGAGTTTTAATTGCTGCTATAGTCTGTAACCTGTGGTTTTACTAATGCACACATCTAGAATAATATGTGTGTATTTTCTTGAAAGGAAGAGCCTTTCTGAGTAAGAAAATCTTTGATTTGTCTGATATCTTATTGTCTGTCAGTAAAAAAATAGCTTGTTTTTATGAAAAATAATAAAATGAAGCCTAACTTTTTAGTTGCTGAGGATATCAACCTCACTGTGACAGAAGAATTGTCTTGTAATTTGGAAGTTCTCAGGCAATTAAATATTCAAAGTGTAAAAAAATTAATCTTGTCTTCCTTTTCTACTGCCTCTAAACACTTACCAGTCATAGTAGACATCTGTTGTAATTTCATTGCACTTCTGTTTAGTATTTTTGTAGGTCAGTGGCCCATTTTCTTCTTCCTTTTCCCTCCTCCCTTGTATGTTTCTTCATCAGCTGATTTACTGCTCATTCTGAATTCAATTGTTCTGACTCTTCCTTAGCTTTCTGTGGGGATGGGCAAGGAGTGACTTTCACTGTAGTACCTTTCTGATTAACTTTATGGTTAAACTGTATTTACTGTATGGCATTGGAACAACTGTTCCTTTCTAGATCTTTGTATACTGCATATCTGCTTTTTATGTCTGTGTCTCCATTGTTTTGGTATCTTCTGATGAACTATAACCTGTTAAATTCTGAGCTAAATTCTGAAATAAAAATGTTGTTACATACAGCATTTTATCATATGAGATCAACCATTGAAATTTTTATATCTCTAGAAGAATGGCTTTTTTTTCCCCAAAAAGTGTTGCACAAGGTTCCAGGAAGTTTTGCTGGAGCTGACAGAAAGATGGGAGTCTCAAACTTTCCAGTCCTACTGGTTTTGTCACTTAACAGTACTTTTCTCAGAGGAAGCAGTGCCAGTTGTGGACATGGAAATAATGCTACACTATGTAGTGCTTCTAGTGCTATTCTAGTACTATAAAGTTTGAATCATGCCTGATACTACTCTTAAAAATAAAAAATGAATGGGTGGGGAGGGGAAAGAAGATACAGTAACGAGTGAAAAGGTTCCCAATTTTACATAAATGTGTATCTTTATGTGAATGTAATGTTTGCTTCTGTGTATCTCAATTTAATTTTCAGTAAAACACAAAACATTGCTGTAAAATGGTGCTAAAACCAGGTATTAGCAAGTTATAAAAATTGTTCCTATAGCAAGAGGAGATATATTTACTTCTCTATACCCCAGTCTATCAGAAGAACCTAAAGGATGCAACGGACACTGAAACAGCAGGGCAGTGCTAAAACCATGTGTATTTACTCTTGTATATATTCCTTTTAAAGCTGGCAATAGTGCCTTCTTTTCATAGCAAAGCTGATTTTCTCTTACCCCATTATACTCACCCTCTTCCCCTACAGAAAAGCATACTCAGCTGAAATGCAGCATTCTGTGTATTCACATGTTTTGTATAACTTCATTGCTGGTTGGGTTTTTTTGTTGTTTGTTTATTTGTTTGTTTGTTTTCATTCTTGGCTAGAGGAAGTCATACCTCCAGTCTTCATGCTTATTTTGTGGGTAGATGCAGGTTCATTCATATGCAGTTTTTAACTTGGTGCTTGGGAGCAATGTTAGGCCTTCCCTCTGGCTTATTTCTGTACTTCACTTCAGCTTTGGGAAATTGACAATAGGTGCATTAACTTCACCTACATATTTCTCAGCTGAACTGCAGTCAGCTCAGTGCAGGATCAGCTTTTGCTCTTTTGGTTATAAATGCAAGTCTAGTTCAAAGATTCTCCTATGTTAAAATTCTTTATCTTGTATGCTCCTGTGCAAGATGATTCTCCCTGAGTTCAGGGGGAGTAACTAGTATTCAGTGGGGCAGAAGAGAAATAGTCTTTGGCTTGTAAGTTGTCCTTGAACTTATAATAAGCAAACAATAGGCAGCTTTCTTATTGTGGAAAATACATGCATCTGGGTTAAGGCTATCTCTGTGTATATATATATATACACACTCTGATTTTATTTTGACAGGAATGTTTTGATCCTACTATGCAGTTGCATTTTGTTCATCAAGCGCCACGTACCATTCCTCCTTACGTCTCAAAAAATGGATCAAGCCTTGGAGATTTGCTAATAGGCTTCTTCAAATATTATGCCACAGAATTTGAGTAAGTAATAAGCTCATTTTAGTGGTTTAGCAGATGTGAAACTTTGATTCCTTCTATTCAATATAGCAACACTTTATAACCCTTGAAAGAAAGAAAAGCAGCAATGCAGGAGTGGTAACTGAGGGAAAGGAAGGCTATGAGTGGAAAAGCTAAATGACAGCAGGAATGCCAGTAAATTGTCTGGTATCTTCTACTTAGCTAGGTGTTCTTTCTTGTGAAATAGTTCCCAAAAGTTAGAGAGCTTTGTCCTTTAAAAATTGTTGGAGTTTGTTATACAGTTACACTATTCTATAACTGCCTATTCATGTGTGAGATCTGTTCTTAGCTGTCATTTAAGGTATCAACTATGAATTATTTGGGCCTTAAGGGCTGTGCTTGTCTTTTGTCACATTGAGTCAATGGAGGTAACTGGCCAGGTGGCTCCTTACATCAACCAGAATATACATCTGTATAGGCCTCACCTAGTGAAAAATTCTCTCAGGTATAGTTGTTTGGCTCACATTATTGGTTTGCTGGAATCTGAGTTCAATTTTGGCATCTGGACTTCCTTATATAAGAGGGGAAGCTTGAGTTGTGAGGACGTCTGAGAAAGCCTTAAGTTACAACTGTTTTGCCAAATCCTTACTTGTGTATTTCTGAATTTCTTAGAAAAAAATGCTTGTTCTTGTAAAATATCAAATGGTTGTATCTCAGTTAGCTCAAAGATCTTCTAAATAACTTCTGAGGCAGTTGTTTCATGCATGTTGGTGTCCTGTGTATGTGCATCATCTCCATTTCTTGGAAGGAGAACAAAACATACAGCTCATAATTTTTGAAGTGTTAATAATTTAATACAAGAAGTGAAAGACTATAAAATCATTAAAGTATTTCTGGAGCGTGCATCACATGTGAAATATGTAAGCTAAATCCCTATGGCCTGTAGTAATGTATGAACCAACTGCATTTTGTGCACGTGCTCATCTGACAGAGAGATGTTAATGCAACAGATTTTCTTTCAATGATCTCTGCAGATAAGAGAATGGTCTTGTCTTAAATGTTTCTCCTGAGTACCTGTCTTTTCAGCTGACAAGGTGATGTTTACTAAAGAGAAAAATGAGAAGACGCTGGAGGATAACCTCAGATTCTTAATTTGTGTGGGATATTACATGAATCTCTTACTACTTGACTGTACAAGCTGTTAATCTTCCTATATATGAAAGTAAATATCTTATCCACTAAGGAATTTTCTGGTTTGCCTGTGCAAAGTATCAGAGGTGATCTTGTATAATTACAGCAAAAACACATAGTTTCACTTTTTTGGGTTTGAGTACTTGTGAACATAGTCAAGACCAGATTTCTGCCTAAGTTGGTGGCTGGTCCAGAATGACTTCATTTTTGTCTGCTATTAGAAAGGATATACTAAGACATATGCAGACCAAAAATTCTGCAATATCAGTGTTTGAGCTGATGGCAGTCCCTAAATACTATTTTTCTGATGAGTATAAATCAGGAAAAAATACTGTCTAGATTTATTCATAGACATGCAGAGGAGCTTCCTGGTAAAAGAAAGCTTGAAAAAGTAGATAGTCTAGGTAGGATAGTTGCTGATGTCAAGGGAAGAAAATGTTTCAAAAAGAAGCTGAATAAAAAGAATACCTGATGTGTTCTTCTAGTGTTAGTATCTGTTAAGTATTTAATAATTTCACTTGTGATATTCTGTTTAAAAAAATAAAAAAGAATACCAGTAAAAACAGCCATTAGAATTCCTGTGTTGAAAAAAAAAAAGCTACTACATAGCTGAGAAGTAATTTGATGAGGTTATGCACTTAATGCAGCAGCCTTTATTATTTTTAACTCTTTTTGCTATGGAAATAAAATTTAGTCAAGTGTACTGTTTATCTGTGTATCCCTGTGAACTATAAATCCTCTTTGAAAGGAATAGGACTGATAATAAAATTCCATGTAGTTTCTTTGATTGGAGAAGACAAATTAGTGCACCTTAGGGAGGAACATGAACATGGTGCTTAAAAAGTTTTGTGTGTGGTAGCCAGCCAGTGAAAGTAAAAGTAGTCTCATGCTAGCCACAGGACCTGTTATCTTTCCTTTGAAGTTGCTGATGTGAACAACAGTATAAATGAGAATGAGGGTAAGAATTAAATACATAGAATCACAGAGTAATAGAATATGCTCGGCTGGAAGGCACCCATCAGGATAGTTGAAATCCAGCTCCTGGCCCTGTATGGGATCATCCCTAAAATTCATTCCCTAAGACCCTGTGCTTGAGAGCATTGTCCAAACACTTCTTGAGCTCTGTCAGGCTGGTGCTGTGACCGCTTCCCTAGGGAGCCTTTTCCAGTGCCCAGCCACTCTCTCAGTGAGAAATATTTTCCTAATATCCAAACTAAACCTCCCCTGACTTAGTTTCCTGCTGTTACCTTAAGTCCTGTCATGAGACCGGAGAGATCAGCGTCTGCCTCTCCTCTTCCCCTCATGAGGAAGCTGCAGACTGCAATGAGGTCTCTCCCCTGTCTCCTTTTCTCCAGGCTGAGCAGACCAAGTGGCCACAGCCACTCCTCATAAAACTTCCCCTCAAGGCCCTTCATGATCCTTATGGCTGTACTTTGATAGCTTTATGTCTTTCCTAAACTGTAGCACCCAGAACTGCCCCCAGCACTCAAGGTGAGGCTGCCCCAGTGCAGAGCAGAGCAGCACAGTCCCCTCCCTTGCCTGGCTGGTGACGCTGTCCCTGGTGCCCCCAGGACACAGGTGGCCCTCCTGGCTGCCAGGGCACTGCTGACCATGTTCAGCTTCCATATACACACAACACAGGGCTCTCTTAGTTCTGTCTTTCATGGAAGAACTAGAGTGTGTTGAATATTTTCTTTGCTGTAATAAGTAGTTTTTTCACTGTTTGTTTTCCCTGTGAAACATTTACTAGTGTCTTTATGTACCAAAATTCTGAGACTATATTTCAGACAGTGTGCCTGTTAAATGAGGCTATATTTTTATGATCTGTACTGGGCCACTGAACTTTCCTTATTGGACTGTCAGGTGTTTGATGAAAAGATTGCTACAGAGAGTGTGACTTCAATTTTTGTAAGCTCCTATCTGTGGACTAGGATGCACTACCAGATCTGATACACAGGAACTGTTTTACTGAATGAACAGCGTGCAATTAACAATTATCAGATCGTGTGCAAATCATAATTTTGAGCAGAATAAATCATTAAAGCCACCTGTCTAGAATGTTTAACTACTGATCTATTTTACATGTAATCATCAGGAAGATAAGAGAAGATGGAGATATATTGTTTTAAATTTCTCCCTCACTCTAGCAAAGGCCATTAGGTATTTCAGTTAAGATCTGTGATTTTTTTTACTTTATTTAGGAGAGGATGGGCTTAAAGAGGATAGCAAAGGAAGAAATAGGATCTTTGCGTCCTGTGCAGTTATGCATAAGTCCTTGTGCTGTATTTATTTTCCCTTACGCTTTTAAACTCTTTTGTTTACTTAGACTGTAAGATGTTTCAGAAAATTGTTTATTGCTATGTATTTATACAGTACATTTTCCACAGTCTTACTGTAGGGTTTTCAGTGTGTCCATAAGAAGTAATTTTTGTACCACTTCATTCCTGTCCCCAAAGAAATGTGATTTGGAAGTTGCAGCATGTATTGGAATAGCGCATAACATATGGCAAAGCCTGTTTTGCCTTTTAAGGTTGTATGTTTATCTTACCATAAGAGTTCAAGTCTGTGTAATGCTTCTTATGATAGAGCTGCCTATGGTAGTGACTTCATTTTAATGTTAACTATTTAAAATTGTCCACTGATTAAGCAGTGAATGTAATCAAGAAAAAACTGTAGATGTTCTCCGAAGCAAGTATTTGGAAACATGTTTACCAGCCCATCTGAAGGAGGTGTCTGATTTCAATACTGCAGCTGTGAGTGAAGGCAGCAGCAGGTTTTCACTTGGCTGTCTCCTGACAAAGTGAGACCTTGAAGCAAGGCATTGCTCGCCTGAATTTATTGCTTTGTGATTACTTCACTTAAATTTACAATGGCAGGTTAAGTAGCAGTTCTTTAAGATCATTCAATGATTTGTATATGGTGCACATGGTAAAAGCTTGCTTACTTTTGAATGACAAAACATAAAATTTCATCAAGAACTTGCTTTTAGCTCTTTTCATGATAGAATTGGTTATGTAATAAAGGGATCATTTTTAATACTATGTTGAATTAAATATATTTGTAACTTGTACCCATCTTACTCCATTTATACAAATGGCTTTGATTTGTAAGAATGCTTTGGAAAAGATACTTTTTTTTATTCTGTTTGTACTGTAGTCATACAAACATCTGAAAATGCCTAGTCTCCTCCTTTCAAACACTTGCTTTTGCCATGACGATGACATACCTAATGCATTCAGTGACAACAGAAATAACTGATGATTGAAATTAAAATTGAAATAATAGTTTAAATGGCAGTGTTAACTCACAGATAGAAAATGTGTGCAGGGAGAATATCTGCTTTATGCTGGCAACAATGAAGTTATTATATGCAAGCCAAAGTGGCTAAAATTGACACACAAATAATTTGCTATTCATAATTAATTTCTAATTCAGTATGATCTTGATACCAAGGTGGTTCTGTAAGACTGTCAGATAAAAGAGTTGTTTTCAAATTTAAGTTTTTATTTTAAATAAAAGGCTTTTAAGTTTCAAGTTTAAATAAAAGGCTTTTTAAACAGGAAGAAATGCCAATTTTTCCTTGCTTTTTGCTTAACCAGTGTATTATAAATGCATTTATTTTTTTGCTGAAGGATCAAGTATAACCTACGAAGAAAAGAATTAAAGAGAAGAATTACTGTTGCAAGTGAAACAGCACTGCCTTGTTAAACCAAACACAGATCAAATACTTCTTTGCATGACTTTATCTTTCTCTCTTTCTTTTTCTCTTTCCCTCCCTTTCCATCCCTTTCTGTCTCTTTCTCCACTGGCCTGGATCTCTGATTTTTAAGTCAGATTTTAAAAAATGCAAACCGTAAGCTTCTGCTCGCAGCGTATGTTCTTGAGCTGCAGTTTAAGCTTGTTTGACTCTAAGCACAGGGGTTTTGTCTTTTATCTTTGTGTGTGTGTTTGAGGTTTTTTGAGCAATTCATCTGAATTAAGCCTGTGTTAATGGTTGATTATTTAAAAGGCATGATAGGCAAGTATTTGATGCTTGACATTATCTCTGTTTATCACAAAAGTAGTCTACTGTGGGAATTAAGGTGAGGAAGGATTATGAATTGGAATGGAGGCTTTAGGGTACATTGAATCCTAGAAAATATCATCATCATTACTAATTTTATAAAGAATATATTAACAGAAAGCCAAATATACACACTGAGGTATCCTAGATCTCTTCATGTGCTGTGTCCTGCATTTTTTTTAAAATAGGCCCTATTCATAGTGTTAAATATACGTGTTTTGTGGAATTACAGTTATTCAAATAACTAAGTTCCATAGGCGGCTTTAATGATGAGTTGTATTCAAGATAATTTGTAGAATTACAGTGAGGATTTTTACCTGTCTTGTCATTGTTGACTTAATGGAGTCACAACAGTAGATCTGTGATCTAGGGAGGACAGAATTCTTTCAGATTTAACTGATGAATGAACTGATGACAGTATTTTAATTTACAGTTGATATGTACAGATTTACTGCTGGTGGTTGACATACCCAGCCCAGCTCTTCTGTCAGGTGTACATCAGAGCAGTACAGCTGGAAGCATATTACCCAGCTATTTCTACCCATTTAGTCAGGACATGTGGTGATGTATTGGTGATCCAACTGTTTCATTGATGTGGTGGCTCCTGGATTTGCAGAATAATCAAGATTAAAAGAGACCTTTAAGACCATCTAATCCAACTACCAATGCAGCACCACTGTAACTGCCCCTACAACATATTCCCAAGTGCCACATCCGGACATCTCTTGGGCATTTCCAGATATGGTGTTGCCATCACTTCCCTAGGCAACTTATTCCAATGCCTGTTTACTCTTTCAGAGAAAAATAATTTTTTAATACCTAATCTGAACCTCTACTGGTGAATTTAAGGCCATTTCTTCTTTTCCTTGAACATGGGAGAAGAGATCGACCCCCACGTGGCTACAACTTTCTTGTAGTTGTGGAGAGGGATGAGTTCCTCCTTGAGCTTGCATTTCTCAAGAATAAAAAATGCCATTTCCATCTGATCCTCATAGGACATGTTTTCTAGACTCTTCTTCAGCTCTTCTTTCCAAAAACATCAGTGTGTTTCAGTGTAATAAGGGGCCAAAAATGCTGTGGGAAATGGTGTCAAAGGCTTTGCTAAAGTCCATGCAGACTATATCCACAGCCCTCCCATATCCATGTTGCCACAGGAGATCAGGTTGGTCAGTCAGGATCTGCCTTTCATAAACCCCTGCTGGCTGGGGCTCAGTCCCCGGACTGTCTTGGATGTGGGACATGTTGGCATGCAGGATGAGCTGCTCTCTTTAGTTGAAAGCAGCTGAAAGGTAGCTGGGTAGATGAGAACATGAAACTGGAAGTGGGTTTTTTTTGGCTTCCATTATGTTTGGGATATTGCTGTGCCAAGTGTTATAAAGATGGTGGCACATCATAAAGACTGCCCTATAATCTGCCCGCTGTTCCTGTTTAAATGTGATAATTTCCATGTCTTGTTGTTGTAAAGCTGCCTGCATAAAGTGGTAGAGAGTTGTACTTGCAGATCTAAAATTCAGCATATATAAATTATTGAAGCTTTCTAGTAACAGGTTCCTTGCACAAGGAAAGCCTATGAGCAAATTATTTCTACATATCTTTATACTATTGTGTATTGTTTATGGAGTGCAGTGTGTGACTCGTCTGCACTTATTCCTTACATTTCTTTTCTTCCTACAGAAAATGCTGAAAATTTTGATTCTGTAATTTATTTTGAACGTAGAAATAAATGTAGGTCACAATGCAAATTGTCACAAAGTTTGACAATGTTAGTAGAAAAATTTCCATTGTGAATATATGTTACTCATGGATAGCTGTGATGCTCTGATTTGAAGATGCTTTTCTGTACTTGAACTTCTGTTAGTAGAAAAATTTTCTTGTTTCCTACCCATGATGTTAAACTAAATTACTCATTATTATAAAATACTGCGTTATCCAGGCTTATAACATTGCAATCTGATTTTTTTTTAATGCAAACTGATAATTTGAATTTAGAACTAAGAGTTAAAATTTTTTGCAAATTGTTTTCCTTTTTTTTAGTTGGTGCCATCAGATGATATCAGTTCGTGAGGCCAAGGCTATTGCAAGACCTGATGGTATTGAATGGAGAAACAAATTTATTTGTGTAGAAGGTAATATGTGAAGCTGCATTATAATTTTTGATTGTTAAGGCATTAAATACATAAATCTATCAATTAGACTTTACCTTGGTTGTGTTTTGAGAAATATATTGCATGTGTGCATTATGTAGAGAAGGAAGCTTAACCAGTGTAAATAGTTCGTTAACAGTCCTGTCAAAAACATTTGAGAAGGAAGCTTTAAGCTATAAAGTGTTTAAAAATAGTACTCCTGACCTTTCCTTCAAGAGCACTCATTGCCCTGTTACTTTTGGAATAGGCTTAGGATTTTGATAAGGAATGGCCTTTATGCCAGTAGTGTGTGTTTTTCTGCTCCACCAAAATAGTTGTCAGTTTGCCAAGTTTGAACTTAGGAAAAAACACAGCAGGCACATACTCAGATTATTCTTGAAGAATATTCTTTGTTCTTGCAATGCTCTAGCATTGCACTGACTAGATTATGTGTACGTTGATCTTCTTGTGGGTACTATTTCTGGCTGGCTGGTGAACACAGGCTTTGTTCAGAGACTACATGATGCCTTCCAGAACTGGAGGGTAAACCCAGGCTACCTGTTGGAGTTGCAGGTCTCATCTGTCTCAGTGCAGAACTGAGTAGGAACACTATACAGGCAACCAGATTAAAGTGCTAGTGACACCTTTCAGCTGCCGTGGGGAGCATACATGGAGAAATGAGCAGTCAAGCATGCACAGGAGATGAAGCGTGCACTAAGGAAAGAGAAGATTATAAACCAAGAGAAGGATTGAGATACTAGGAGAATGAGAACAGACTGAAGGGACTGAGAGTTGCTGGGTAACTGGAAACATTTATCACAAAGGGAGAGGAGGCCTGGGCCCTGGCTGCAAATTAACGAAGGCTGTTAGGATAACAAGGTTTGACGTCACAGGATGAAAGAGGAATATAACTTGAACAGGAGACAAATGGTATGGGGAAAGTTATTAGACACTGGGAAGATTTTGCTGGGGGAGGAGGAGAATAAGACAGAAGTCCTGTGGCTGAATAGACATTGTTCTAGATTGATGAGGTTTAGGGTTGTGGTATCTATGTACTTTGCTGCATTTGTGCTGCTCTGTGCAGAGAATCACTTTGAATCACCTTGGTGAACTTGGTTATTCTGTGGTACAGAGCTCATGGACTTTGCCACAGTCATATGAATGTCAATGTACAACCACATGATGGGATTCCTGTTCTTTATTTGACCCTTTGGGAAAAAATCAACAGTTACAGGAGAAGAAGAATACATTGAAATATATTTGCACTGGACTCTGTGGTCTTAGAGTTGAGAAATGTGAGAATTAGAGTATCTGCACAGCTGAAATTATTCAGAATAGCAAAGTGAGGCACTGCCAAGGCTCTGGTCTGAATGTGGGAGGTGGGAATGCTGGGCAGCTATGTTTGCTGCTGTCACATGATGCTGATCCACTGTGTTGCAGGGGGCTGTGTGTTTCAAGCTCTCAAATATTTTATGACATTACAAAGTGGTTGAATAATTAGGTTCTCTTTCTACCAGGCTGGAAAATAAAATACACATCAACATACAAAATAGACACTCTAGATTTCTCATTCAATGGTCTTTATTACATAGAACTTTTCCTTAATGTGTTTGCCTTTGAACTATTAAAAAAGTCAAAATTTTCTATAGATAACATATCTGGTTCCTTCCTTGGTTCAAGACTTAGTGGGTTTAGCCTCACATACCAAGTTTTTTCTTCTGATTTGGGAGAGAAAAATAAAATCTACTTTTGCTCAAAGTAGACTTCATGTTTATAACAGCTGTTAAACTGAACTAGGTTAACAAAGAATGTACCTAAGTTTCTGTGTACTTGAGAATAAGATTGCAAAAGTTAGGTAAACATGCCAGTATATTCTGTTTTCCAAGTCTTTGTCAAATTTTCCTGTCCGCAGAATAAAATTTCAGTAATTGGTACTATTGCATTTATTTTAAAATATGTAAAATATATTTGTTGATAGATTACACAAGTCTGTGCCTGCAAGTTTTGATAATTCTGCATGTAGTACTGTATTTAGATTAGTTCAAGAAAAGCTGTATTCTGTTTTAAATGTTATGGGCCTTAAGGCTGATTCTCACATGTATTTCTGCTGTTAGAGAAACAAATGTAGTCGGGATATGCTTTCCAGACACTTTAAAATATGATAGGCTTTTACCATGATAGGGATACAGAGATACAGAGAAGCCTGCTTTTAGATTATATTTTGAACAATCCTTGTCAGAAGCTCTAAATGGCTATTAACTATTCTTGTTTCAGTTTAAATCTTCTCTGTATCAAGTAATAACTACTCTCCTGTTGGAGAATAGGAAAAGCTAGAAACGTGGCAATTTTACGAGATTATTACATTGATAATAATTTAGGGAAATCGAATCAGAAGCCATCTAAGCTGCACCTGATTCATATTTGTAGTTTCAAGTCTTTCAGATCCACATGCTAAAAATAATTCCTCGGGCTTGGTTGGCAGCAGTTCTGAAGTACTGTGATATCATTTTTGTGTATTTTTGTTTGGAAAAATGATTCCCTTTAGCCTTTCCCTCAAGCAGCAGTGTTAAAGCTGTGGGGTTTTTTGGCTTTGTTTTTTTTTTTTTCTTTAATATTCTCATCTCTGTGTGTGAACAAAATAACTTACAGTAAGCTCTTACTGTCTTGATGGTTAGAAAATGTAGTGGTGTAAAGAGTAGCTGATTGTAAAATTATTCTTGCTCTGCTTCAGAGAATCAGTTTGTCTTTTTACAATCAGTAAATATCCAGGAATATTAAAGGGAAGATGTGAGTTAGCTTTTGTGACTGGAATGCCTTTTTTTTTCCACTAATGGTTTGAGAAGATTATACACTTCAGCCCTTGTTGCTTTAAAATATAGATATTACTTGATTCAACATGAAGGTCCTAGCACTAAAAAAGCAGTTACCATCACATGTATGATACACAAATGAAATGCTGTATTGTTCACATAGTAAGGGACATGGAGTTCTTAATTATACTAGATCACTCTCTCAGATAATGGGACCGGTATTAGGGGACTGTGTATGTTTTATTTGGTTGTCAGTTTTGGTTCTAAACTAAAAGTATGACGCATTCTGAAACAGAATCTGTCTGTAGCTGTCCACTGAAAACTAGGTAGTTTGAAGATAATTCTTTTAGAATATTGCTAAATACAATATCTATTGCATGAAAAAATTTCTTAGTGAATTTAAATATTTAGCAGAAATAAAAACCTAAAGCCATGGAGCATGTACCAAATTTGAAATTCCAGTCTCCATAAAGGCACAAGCCCTTCTGATGTCTGTGTAATGCTTAATTTTGGTATACATCACTATCTGAATAAAAGTAATTCATAACCAACTAGACAAAAAAATTTCTACCAGATCAACAAATACTTCAGTGGTTCTGTGGTCCTTGAGGACTTCCATACATTCTACCAGTGTGAAATACACAATATTACTTAAGCAGTTCTCTATTAAGGAATAAAAAGACTTTAAAATCTGCTTTGTGGCACACGGTAATGCATAGTCCCTGTATCATATTTTTAAAAAAATACAAGAAGTACTTTTTTAATATTGAAATTAAAAATGTTCCAAACTATTAATTAAGTTAGGACAAAAAAGCGGGGGACCATCACACTGATTTGTCATCAGTTAGAAAGTAGAACCCCCAAATTGTTAACTTATGAACAAATATTGCAGAATAGGTATGAAGTGATAAAGTATACATTAGAGCAGTTGATATGTCTTATATTAAAATTATAGTAAATATTTTGCTATATTCTCAGTATTTCACTGAGAAACTGTTGAATGAGATGGATCTAAAGTGAATAGTTCCAAGAATCTGATGTGTAATAAGTTTCAAAATATTTTAATATGCAGAATCATAGTCTGATATGTTATCACAGACTATTGAGCTGTAGCAGATAATTACTACTGCATAAATTCAGCACAATCATAGTATGCTTCAACAGATAATAATAAGCTGAGTTTATTAGGAATTACATATCACTAAAGCATTCACTGAATCATAGAATGCTTTTGGTTGGAAGAGACTTTTAAGTATCATCTCTTTTCAGCTCCCCTGCCATGATCAGGGACATCTTTCACTAGAACACTTTTCTCAGAGCCCCATCAACCAGGCCTTGAACACTTCCAGGGATGGGGCATCCATAGCTTCTCTAACCAACCTCTTCCAGTGCCTCATCACCTTCACAGTAAAGAATTTCTTTCTAGTATCTAGTCTTAAGCTTGCCCTTTTTGGATTAAAGCCATTCCATCTGGTCCTATCATGACATGCTGTTAAGAAAAGTCCCTCTCCAGCTCTCTTGTAGGCCCCCTTTACATACTGGAAGGTGTTATGAGATCCATCCCAGAGCCTTCTCTCTAGGTGGAGCAACCCCAGCTCTCTCAGTCTGTCCTCTCAGAAGAGGTGCTCCATCCCTCTGATCACCTTTGTGGCCTCCTCTGGACTCCCTCCAGCAGGTCCATGTCCTTCCTGTGCTGGGCCCCAGAGCTGCTGCAGCCCTGCAGGTGGGGTCTGAGCAGAGCAGAGCAGAGGGGCAGAATCCCCTCCCTGGCCCTGCTGCCCACCCTGCTCTGGATGCAGCCCAGCACACGTGTGGCTCTCTGGGCTGGGAGTGCCCATGGCTGGGTCATGTCCAGCACCCCCAGGTCCTTCTGGGCAGACCTGCTTTGAGTGACTTCTCCCCATCTGTAATTGTGTCTGGGATTGTCCTGACCCAGATGCAGCACTTTGCACTTGCAGTTGTTGAACTTTCATGAGATCTGCATGGGCCCACTGCACAGGTTTGTCCAGGTCCCTCTGGATGCCAGCCTGTCCTGTAGTGTCAACTGCACTGCTCATCTGCAGACTCCCTGATGATGTTCTCCATTCAGGGCATTCAGAGAATTCAGCTGTTGGGGTGTTTTGGTTTTGGGGGGTTTTTATTGTTTGCTTTTTGGGGTTTTTTTGGTGGTTTTTTGGGGTTGTTTTTGTTTTGGTGGTGATGGTGAAGGGGTTATTTTTGGTTTTTGTTTGTGGTTTTTGGTTTTTTTTTTTGGTGGTTTTTTGGCGTTGTTTTTGTTTTGGTGGTGATGGTGATAGGGTTATTATTGGTTTTTGTTTGGTTGGTTTTTGGGGGTTGGTTAGTTGGTTGGTTGATTTGTTGTTTTGGGGTATTTTTGTTTTTCCCCCTCCTCCTTTTTATTGGATTGTTTGGTTTTGGGTTTTCTTGTTTTTGTAGGAGGGGATATTTTGTCTTATTGGTTGGTTTGGTTTAGTTTAGTTTTGGTTTGGGGTTTTTTTGATAAATGTTATGTAGAAAGAAAGCTTGAGAACCAAAGAGGAACTGAGTATTTAAAACACTTTTGGGAAGCAGTTATATGCTTGACCCTACTTGGTTAGCAGAGACAACTAACTCTAGATATTTTTAACAGTTTTCATGTTTGTTTTTGATCTTGCAGAGCCTTTTGACAGAACAAATACTGCTAGAGCTGTACATGAGAAACAGAAGTTTGATATGATCAGAGGTGAACTTGCGCAGGTAAAAACTAATCTCATGTAATTTTTCTGGTCACTTTGCTTTTCAGGATAGTTTTACTATCTTGAAAAAGCTAGTCATTAAACCTGCCTGATTTTGATGGTTTTTTAGTTTGTACTATTAGTAGTAAAAATGCATGTTTTTAAAAATATGTGGGAAAATAATTTAAGAATATTCTTTAATGTCTGCCATTAAACTTCAGGTTTCCACTGAAATGGGTACTCAAACTAGTAAAAACCCTGTCTCTTAGATTTTCTTGTATGTGTAAAATTAGCAATGGTTAAGAGCTTTAAAGTTACAACTTCATTCATTATTTATTCCTACATGAATTTGAGTGCTAATAGATAATATTTTATACTTCTTACTATCCCTTTTTTAAATAGATATCACCACCAAAATAACAGGTGTTTTCTGATTTTTGATAACTTACTTAGATGGGTACTTTTCTTTAGGGAGACCATCCTCATAATTTTAGAACATGAGTAGTTCAAACATGGACTTTCACTGTCCCAGTCAGGAGAGGAAAGGACACTTTGAAACAAAGAAAAATTTAGACTTTGGTTAAGAATTTTTCTGAAATTTTTTTCATATCAACTATCTTTTATGCTTCTGTCCTATCATAGGCATTGCATAGGTATTGCAACTCAAATTCTAGGTTTCTGAGATCTCTGACTATTTTTTATGTAGTTATGACTAGGGATTAGTGCATAGAACTGGCTTCCAGCTTTAACCAGTTAAGACTCCCCTGGTAAGCTGTCCTTGGAGGTTAATGTTTACTCCAGTTATTCCTGTCTTCAAGAACCTTGAAGGCTTCCCCAGCAACACCTAATTCAATTCCAGATACTAGTAATAGAACAAATGCTAAAAGAGACACCTTAGTAATTTTCTTCGTAATTCTATTCAGAAATGTTAGTATTTCTTTTATTTAACCATGTTAGCATACAAAATACTGAATTGTTCATATACTAGTACATAAAATAGTTGATTTTGTGAATATGCTAAAGTCACCTTTATGAAGTGGTTTGGGTTTTCGTGGTACTCTGAAATCAGAGAGAACTTCTCTTTTCAGTTTTCAGTTAACAAAATTCCTTTCAAACTTCTGTGGTTTTCTGAAAAATGCAAAAACAGACATTTGATCCTAGCTGTCTGGAAGCAATATACTAGAGTCATATAGCCCTGAAAAATATCCTTTTTACCAGATACCATAAGAATGACAGTTGCTCTAAAAGTGCAAGTACTTTTTAATGTCCTGCACTATTTTCAAAAAAGCTTAAGCAATCTGTTTTGTCCTTGAGAGAATTGTTCTTCCTGTGGTTTTCATTATGCATTGGAGTGTAAATGACTTCTGTATAAACACAGGAGGGTCTTTGCAGTTCTTTACAGGCTCGTGGTGTAGCAGATGTCTTGAAACTCTCACTAGAACACAGAAGAAAGTTGAAATAACCTATTTTAGAGACACATCTGAGTTCTGGAAATAACATCATTTACTGGGGACTTTGACATGTGTGAATTTGAGACAATTATTTTGCAGTTACAGTACCAGTGTAATACTTAAATATTGTTAACATCTCTATCTCCAAAAGTCTGGTCTGTTCTTGACCTTCCTCATTAGTTCATTGCATTTTGTGTACTTCTTGGATTTTGCTTCCCTTAAAAAATCCCAAAAACAAATTAACAAAAAATACCTCAACCCACAAATTTTCTTTTCAAGAAGGGGAAAAAATCAGCCTTAATTTTGTGGCACTGTGATGCTTACTGCTTATAATGGTATTTAAGTTTTAATGGCAAAGATTATATAGTCTTTTTTAAAAAAACCTTGTGGTTTTTTTTCCTCAGGCTTGGCGGTTATTACGAGAGAAGAAAGATCTGAACTATATATTGCCTTTCAAAGCAGTCGTACAGAAAAGATAACTAGCTTCTTTCATTTTCCCTTTTTTTGGATCCTGCTGAAACAAAGAACAGTGTCAAAATCAGGAGGCACTCACCCCATGATTTTTATGACCTGTTTTTCTCTGTAAACTTTTGTTAAGGAAATGTTTATAAGGATGTGGCATATTTTATTATCAGTATTTGTTAATACAGCTGTTCAAGATACAGCTGTTTCTTTCTGAAAATGCTTGCATTGTTGACTTCTTGACAGCAAACAAGAAGAATACATCTATTTTAAGCAAAGTATGGGGATATACTGACTTGTTTCTTGTGTGATCTGTGTAACCATTATTTCAGACAGATTTAACCATGAAAAGTAGACATTCAAAGTTAAACCATGTGCAAATCTGACTACATCCTTAAGGCACTGTGCACTACCAACTTTTTGATGAACAGAGTCTGTGCTTTACATCTGCTGAATTGCAGTAAGCACTTCTGCTCAACTTAGGACTTTCCAGTTTTATTTCACTTTTACTTGAATAACAAGCAACTGTTTATGACAATGAAGATAGATTATGGTTGGTAGTACTCTGAATATCAAGAACTATAATCTAAACCAAAATTTTCAAGCACCAGTTTTACTATGAGGAAATTGAAGTAAAAAAGCTCAATTCAATGCACATAAATGCTTATTATTCACACAGAGTAGGAAGGAAAATTTTTAGTGCTTCCTTTTACATATTTGAAGTAATAGTGGTGCCTCTCTTAGAGAAAAAGACCAAATCAAAATCAAAACACCTCACATCAGTGCTAAAATTAGCTGGCTTCTCATTTGATTTTGTGTGAATGTTTGTGAATTGATCAGCCACTGTAAATTGAATCTAAGTAATACTGACAACTATAGCTCTTCCAAAAAAATGGCAAACTTTCTCTTAGACCTCCTATAGCACAATTTGTATCTCTCATATATTTGTTATTGAAGACCAATTAATTTTTAAGGTGGTACTTACCACTGAAGTCAAATTCATACTTCCATTTTTTTAAGTTTACTATTTTATATGGTGTCCAGTGAAATAAAGTTTCTATATGGAAGATACGGGTTATTTTTCCAATTTATGTTACTTTGTACTGCATATTTAAAATATTTCCTATAATTAAGTAGAATAGAAAATGCCCCATGAGGTAAGGCCCATGTTGTAATTCACCAAGATCTGTCATGGCTATTCTGCAGTACATCTGTGAATAGGCAAAAGTTTGGTTTATTACTTTCTCTAAACAGATTATAAAAACTCTTTTAACTGTAGAATAACAAGCATTATGTCTTCTTGTGCAAACTTTTAAGTTCTAGTTTATTTAGAAGTTCTAAGTACTGTAAACTATATGCCTGATGTGAGATTACTTCCTACACACTTTGTCATGGTCTAGTCTATGTAGAATTTTGTCTTTTTTCTGTAATTGACTTTTCTTCTCAATTTTAACTGTCTTTCAGTTTTAATATGACTCTAGCAGTCCACTGAAATATTCTTCCTCCTTGCATATGTTCACCCTCAATGCCCTTTTTCTATAGGATGGTAGACTTGAGTGTCAGTGAAACATTCACTTTGATTCACTTTATGTAAAATAGAAACACAAGATTTTAAACCAGGATGATGTCTGGATTCAAAGATGTTCTACAAGCTCCATGTAGATTCTGGGAAAAGAGAATGTTGGCTATATCTTCTTAAAAAACATATTGGCTATACCTTTGTCTAGAAAATTTAAAACTTTCCCAACCTAGGATAAATGAGAAGGGACATAAATGTTTAAAGTTGGTTAAAATATATTTTAAGTGAGCTGAATGTGAGAAACGAAACTTTATAAAAGGCATAAAACTTCCTTATGAGTTTGTATTGCATCACCTAATGTGTCAGCATTTCTTACAACTTAAATTAATCCTTCGTGTTTAATTTAATTCCTAACTGTTTTTAAAAGGTTAGTTTAAAACATTGTGGTATCTCTGAGCTACTCTATAAAAAGTACCCTACGAATTAAGTGGCATTTTTAATACAAGTTAAGGTCTGTAACCACAATAGTCTGTGTCTTTCAAAAGAATACTTTTGTATTTTTTTCTCAGTTTATGTCCTGATGTAACCAGAAAATCTAGATGGTAGTTTTCCCCAATTTTTTTCGAACTGAACCGTTGATGGCATTAATAGTGGGCTGCAACTTTTGTCAGAAAACTTCAGATCTAATACCATACAGTAATGGCTTGGGGAGAGTGGGTAGGAGCTGGACATCAACTTTGGGTTCAGTTCTGTATAGTCTGAAGTTGTTCGAGGTGTAATGATCTGTGTTTTCATCTACTCTGGGCAAGTATTCAGAGTAAAATATTCACTAATGTCTACCATAAATTTTAGTGTTAGGGTAAAATGTTCAACTTTCCTTGGCTTAAAAATAAAAACTTTTACCTTCTTAACCCCTGGCATACATCCTAGCAGGAATATTTTTTTCTGAGAGCTCTTAGGTAAAAGGTATTTTTCACAACTGACCGAGATGTCAGTGTGTGAGCAAGATGCTGTCTTTGGATTTTGTTACTGCCTTGAAATAAAACTGCTTTAATTCAGCGCATTTATTTATTTAATTTTTTTAATTATTATTCTTGACTACTCTTTTTGGCAGTGGGTTTTCTTGTCTGTTCTCACCTCATGTGTCAGAAACCACTAGTGTCTTCTCTAGGATTTTAAGAACTCTATTTAGTCCTTCAGGACTAAATTAACAGCCTCAGAGGTGCACAGTAGGACCAAACATTGGCAAGAGCTTCACATTTGGTGACAGTAATGCAGAACTGGCATAGGCTATGCACTGTGAAACTTAAAGTTTCTCTTCTAGCTCTTGCTCTCACTTGTCCTGAAATGTGAATGTGTATGTGAACTCTTAGTACCTTTAGGTGTGTTGACAGTATAAGGTGTTACTTTTTAAAAATCCCTCACAAAGAAATCAATATAAATCAATTTTAAGACACACACTACTGGGTGACTTGATCATTTGGGAGAAACAGGCAGTGATGATAAAAGGATGTAAGATGATTTGTATAAAACCTGAAGTTAGCATTTATGAATGCATTATATTTGTGAATCCCAAACATTTATTTGGAACTAGTGCTTTACTTGAAATTGTGTTACTGGACTTGAGTCACAATATGTTTGATGTTAAATTTAAGTCCATCAGAGAATGTCACTCTTGATTTATTGTACTGTACTTGCTCCCGGTTGTCCTGTGGTTTGTGAGTTTTTCTGCCTTGTTCTCTGTAATCCTTGTTTTCAGATATAAATATTTTCATTGATTTTACTGAGTATGATGCTTGTCCGAAGAGCGTGTTCGATTTTGGTCCATTTACAGGTCAGATTCACTTGTGAGAAGTAAGATGGAAATGAGTTGAAGGGTTTCTGGTAAAAGAGTACTTGCCTTTCTCTTGCTGTGCTGAAGACTGAATCAAATCTTGTGCAATGTATGTATGTTTCATCTATAAGCGTTTCTAGAAGACTTGTAAAGCTCTTGCCTTCCACATGAAATTTAAAGAAGAGTACTTCATATTCTTTACATTTTGCTGTGTACACTGTCTATGCTCATGATGAAATGTAGAGTTTAATTTAGTTTAATATCTGTTTCAAATACACTTTTCAAAAAATTACATTGTCACCTTGTAAATTCTGTATGTCACTGCGTGGGTCAGGAGAGTAGGAAGACCTGTACCTATTTTGTGTGCAGAGATAGCTTGTAGTCAGAAGTACATGGCTGGGTGTTTCTATACTTATAGCACTCTTAAGAAAGAGTTTGCTGATTGATTTATAACTAGATATTTATTTGAAGAACAATAAAAAAAAAAGCTGGGGGCATTGGAGTTATACTGTGCAAACAGTCGTTTATACTTGAGATATCTTGGAAGTTCTTTACTTAGAATCAGGGGTTTAGAGCTTTTCCTCCTCTTCTAATTTTTTTTTTTAATAAAGTCATTATGTTGAGTAATACAGATTGGAAATATTTATGTTTGTTTGTGAAAAGCACTGCATTTTCTGTAAAATGCAGAATAATAAAGCATAAATGTGGCTTAACCTAAACTCTGCATGGTAGTATAGTTTGTCTTCGCTTTATAATTGGTTCAAGTTTGCTCAAATAGGAAGTTTTAAATGTCTTTGATTTAGCACATTGATAAATCAAGGGCTTAAATACATTCCTTTTGCATGGTTAAATACCACAGTGCATCTGATATCTCTTACAGTATGGTATTAATAATTAAATGTGTTTGTTGGAGGCTCATCCACTAGTTATTGTATTTGACCTTTTCAGTTCGAGCTTGAGGCACTCTGGGTGTGCTCAAGGGCAGAACTTGTGAAATGTACCTTCTCTTGGGGCCACAGATAAACTCTCCTTCTGCTTCATCTGTACCATCCATCCCGAATTTGCTAGAGGTAACTGGGGAAGGTCTGCTTGGCCCCCTTCCTCCTTTCTGCTGCCTGACTGCCCTGTCTGCTGTACAAGTGACGGGCAGCGGTGGCAGGCGAAGGGGGAGAGCAGCTGGAGAGATGGCCACAGAGCCACGTGTCCTGGCACTGGGTTGGTGCTAGGAGACAGGGTAGGAACAGCAGCGACTCTGCGCTGTAACTTTGCTGCCTTCTATTTAAAGACTGCCCTGAGTCAGGAGAAGTGAGTGCTACTGGGGATGACAGTTGCTTCAGGCAGCCCTGGGGAGGACAGGGCTGGGGGTAAACATCACCGGCAAGGGCCTGAGCAGGGAAGGGAATGGAGGGTTCCCGCGGCACCGAGTGTGATAGGGCATCCGAGACTTCATCCTTCATAGGAGATGAAGAAGAAGAGGAAGAAGAAGAAGAGGAGGAGGACGAGGAGGAGGAGGAGGAGGAGGCCGTGGACACCGAGGAAGCAGAGGAGCTGACTAATAGGTATGTCTCCCCAGGGACTCATAGCCCCAGAGAGGCAGCTCTACCCCAAAGCATCATCCCCCAGGAGATGCCAGGATTGGAATCCCATGCTGGTTTATTGCCTTTTCCCCCTTCCCTTGCCCAACTGCTGTAGATAAAAAAAAGGGGGAGTAATAGGGGGGTAAGAGGGCTTAATATTTTTTACAGATGAGTATGGCTGTAATTAAATTTTGTGTGGTAAGCGCCTACCCTGAGTTCCCTGAAAGCTTTTCTATTTAAAGATCCTCTGATGTGCCAGCTCAAGTGGCATCTCCTTCCACTCCTCCCTCTCTGGCTGACTCTTTGTCACATATGGATCTTAAATGCTTTGCAGATTTGCTTGTCAGGGAGAAAATGCTCAAAGATTATAATGGTGCATTAAAATTGGTTCCTTTTTATGGCCCTTTATTCCTTCCCACTTGTTCCTCCCTCTTCAGTTTCTTCTTTCCTTGAAAAGGAAAAATTCATTATGCATGTCTCCTATTGCTGGTCATGATTTGTAAGGCTGATTTTTGTGGTGGAATGGGAAATATTCTATCCCTTTGATCTTTAATTTTTTGCTCTTAGTATTTTTGTTTTCTTAATAAGTCTTCCACAGAAACAGTTTATTGTCCTGCTGTTGCTTTCCTACCATTAGGAATGTAGTGAGCAAGGCTGTGGCCCAGTGCCCTGCCCAATGGTCCTGCACAGGAGGCAAAGGCATCTGCAACCTGGTCCATGCAGACAGACCCTGGCTGTGCCACCACCATTGGTTTCATACAGAGACCACAAGGCCTGAGAGTCCCCTGGCACATACCAAGTCTCAAGATTTCTTTCTTATCTTGAATAGACCCCATCAATTTTAAGTGGATACTGTAGAAGAACCTAAGATGTTAATATTGTTAGCTTGAGTTTTTTCCAGAAATCCAATTTTTTAAGAAATGTGTGTCATATGGTTCCTAATACCTCTGCTGTGAAGCTATCTGCGTTTACCATCACTCTGTGTGAATCACAGTTCAAAGTGCTTTCTGACCACTGCTGATGGTCACTGGACAAAAAAGATGGCAACGGGGTATGACGGTGGGGAGCTCTCTGCAGCCTAACCCACCCAAAGTACTTCAGCAAAAGCCAAATGGGGAAATGTATCCTAGAACTGTAGGAAAACCTTCCTGCACAGGAAATAAAGAGCTAGTTTTCCACAGTGAGGGGACCCCTGGTGTGTAATGCTGCTTTATTCTTAAGGGAGGTGTTGGCTTTTCAGTCCTATACTGGCAGAGAGACGGATTACATGCCAATAAAACACAGGCTGTGTCCCTGCAAGAAAACGAGCTGCAGTCCATGGAGTGGAGTGCTCATTGCACACAGCTAAACCATGATTTAGAAATATGATTTTTAATAGAATCTGGAATTAAATAGCTAATAGTAAAACTGAAATTGTAAAATTTGTTATGAAAATGTGAAATTTAGTAATTCCTACAAGTAGGAGTTACTAAAAAGGGAGTGAAGTCTATGTAGCCTCACAGTTATTTACTGCTTGTGATGAGAGGATGACTTTTCCATGGGTGCCTGTTAGCAGCTCCTCACAGATGGGCCTTGCTTCTGGCTGGCAACGTCTGCAATGCAAACTTGGGCATTGCCTCTCAGCACTTACTTAAATCATAGCAAGCATTCCCTTTAGTGCCAGTTATATTAAACACAGCAGAGTTTTTCTCTGTCCTTAACTGTCTTACTAATAAACAGGTCATAGTCTACTAGAGAGGTTTTTAACAGCTATGCTAAGTGGTAACTGAGCATATTTAAATTGGTTAATTTAATTAGGTTAAAGGAGATGTAAAATTTTGGGTTTGGCACAAATGTGGTGGCTGCACCAAGCACTCAGCAGTAGCTTGGAAAAGTTAAATAAAACTGACTCTAATTGCTTAGATGTTTTCGCAAATGTCAACATGGTTGTTGAGCTTCAGGCCTCCTCCTGTGGTCAGTGCCTGGGCAGAGCTCCTGGCAAGACAAGACAGGTTGAACCCCTGGGACATACTTACTCAAGCTGTGAGCTAATTATTTGTTGACAAACAGGTTTTCAAGCCCCCATTGCTGAACAGATTTTTTTGAGTGCATGGGCTTTGAAAACACAACTTAGAGGAGATGTAACTAATAGGCAAACTTGGCTGAAGGCAGCTTGTCCTGGACCCTGCTGCCATCAATTTATTTTTAACAACCCCAAGTTCTCTGTTGCTTTTGCTTTCCTCCTTTGAGGAAAGGTGCAGTTGAACAGCACCTAGTTGTGCAAATCAGCAGAAAAGCCCCACTGACTCCTATTTCTGCCTTTCAAGTATGTTAAATAGCCTCATACCTAATTTATATGAGAATCATGCAGCAAGATGAGTGCCCCAAGGTCAGGAAGCGCCTCTGTGAAACAAGCAGAAGAGCCTTGGTACTCCTCTGAGACACCAGGCCCTGAGCTCTGACCAAACCACTCTGGTTCCACACTGTGCAGCAGCTGCAGTAAATAAAATCCCAAAAGCTGCAGCAGAAATAATTACTGTCTCAAAATTACGAGGCATGCATGCAAAAGGCAGAAGAGTTTGGGTTTCATGTCTTTATTACCCTTATTAATGTAATGTTTAAACAATTTGGTTTCCTAGCACACTTTTTTTGTATAAGTAATGAGACTAACATGTAGCATCAGAACCTACTAAAAAGGTGGCATAAGGGTTTCATAACCTTGTCAGCACAAAAACGCCACTGATCTGTATGGCACCCCTACAATATTTTCTTGCCTTTGGGCATTTTACTATCTAGGATAGGTGATTGTGTTAGATGGCTTCTGTTTCTAGCTCTATGTATCCAATTCATCACCTAAGCAGGGAAAATATTCTGAATACTGTGTTTGTTAAGGCAAGCGTAGCATGTTAACAGGTTTTAATTTTTGTATTGATAATGGTGAAAATTAAGTCTCACTAAAGTAAAATTGTTGACTGTTTAACTGGTTTACATACCCACTGGAATATCTGTGTCTCTAACAAATCTGTGATGGGTGAGCTGTTCTGACACAGTTCTGTCTTTCAAACCATTCTCAGCTGATTTCCTTCTACAGTGGGAAGGTCTCTGGATGTGTCTGTGTGCAGAGTTTACATAAAAATTGCTCTGCAGCCAATTTAAGTGTTTCCAGACAGCCTGTTTGCCTGGAATAGGTAAATAGCATTTTATCTGCTTGTTTAGTGTTTACCTATAACTAGAGGGGAGAAAAATGGGGAGAAAGTCCTTAAGTTCTGGAAGCAGTTGAGTTTGTTTGTTTTATTAATGAAGCAGTCCTTCCAAAAGATTAGAAGTGTGTAAGCTCTAGAGATAAGTGTCATTTATGAAAATGAATGTAAAGGGAAACACAGTGGAGAAGGCATCTTCCTGCCATGTGGAGGATGCTGCAGCATCTAGGAGAGCAAAAGACTGGAATGATAGCAAATGGATGATGAGAAGGAAGAGGTGGGGAGTATTGTGGATTTGTCTTCCGAAAATAAAAGTTACCATAGCCTATCCAAAGCAGAGAAAGACATGGGGAAAGCGTGTGTGATTTTAGATGCCTCTCAATGAGGTGGCCCATCTGACGTGGACCAGGGTGGAAGGGGGTGGCAGGGCTATTCTTCTGCCACCTGCAGCAGGAGCATTAGCAGGGAACAGGAGAGAGGTAGGAAACAGAGTTGTGCACGCCATTTCAAGTACCTCACGTCAGAGGCTTGAGCAAAAGGTAATTGAGCAGCTGAATGGGGCAGAATGCTGAGGTGGGGGCATTGCAGAGGGGAGGGGTGCAGCTTGCCCCCACTTGCTTCCGCAGCTGGGCAGTCCATGTTTTGTTTCTCTTCAGTCTTTTGAGTAAAACTGAGTCCTTAATAAAAGCCTGTGTTGCATAGGGCTCTCAGAGTTCAAGAAGTTCCCCATTGGGTCTCAACAGAGTGATTATGTAACTGTGTAAAAGAAGTGACCCTCCTAGACTGCAGTGTTTGATACCTGTGCTCCCTCTACAACAGGCTGGAGAATCCAGAATGCAGAAGCATGCCAGACCTCGGCATGGAGGTGCTGTGGGTTTCTCAAGCAGCATCTGATCCTGCAAATGGCAATGCCACTAGGACATGCCATGAGCTGGTGTCCAGAAAACAGACTAGGCTGTGTTC